TTTTATACTTAATAATCAAATTAATCTCTTTAAGTAACTTGTAAATGTGTTTTATTTGAGATTCCAATTGGTGTGTTGGAATAATTGATTCATCAACTAAACGTTCTGCATAAAAAATAAGAACCTTTTGAATAGACTTTTACGAAGTGATTAAAGTGCAACAATACATCATTGGTTTTCCTAATGTTTTAAGAAATCCACTTTTCGTTTCAGTCAGTCAGTCAGTCACAACGTAGAACTTCGTACGTACGTACATCAGTTCGAGTTGCCATACCACATTAGCACAGAGATACAGTTGTCGATTCAAATCCCATAGTGGTAGAAGTAGTAGGAGTATAATCAGAAATCCAAAAGATTAGGGTTTGAAGAAATTATTGAAGGAGTATAGTACAGTGAAATAAATTTGGAAAGAGAAAAAGATAAAGACATGAGGAATTCAGAAGATTAGAATTTGGTAGAACACAAAGAGTGAATGCATCTTCGCCATTGCAAACGATTTTGAGCCATGTCATTCAAGGTCTCTAACCATCGGTTGCTATCATCTCGCGAATCCCAACCAGGTAGTCTACACCTACCAACATGGCCCAGTCCACTTGTCAGTTACTTCATTGATTTGTGCCACGTTTTGGTCTGGCCACCCCTAGCTTTCTTCCAACCTACTCCTACACCATGAAACATTGCACGTCGGGGCAGTCGGTGGTCGGGCATACGTAACACATGTCCCAGCCATCTCAACTGATGAAGTTTCACTACTTCATCAATCGATTTGCCATCCCTACCTAGTACTCGTTTCCTAACAACTGCATTACTTACCCGGTGGTCCCAGGATATACGAGCAATGCTTCGAAGACACCTATGATCGAACACTAGTAGCCTACGAATATCCTCTACTCTCATGGGCCATGTTTCACTGCCATAAAGTAGGACGGAGCGAACTGCTGCACAGTAAACCCGTCCTTTGGTTGCTAGACGGATATATCGCCTACGCCATAAATGACGCAAGTTGGCGAAAGCTAGACGAGCCTTCTGTATCCGTGTTGAGATTTCGTCACATACCAGACCACAAGGGCTGATGAGACTCCCAAGATAAGTGAAGTGGTCTATACGCTCAACTACTTCACTCCCTATCATTAGTTCAGGTGTCGATGCAACCCAATCCTGAAGTAACATTTTGCACTTCGAGGGAGAGAATCGCATCCCGAACATACCTGCATTGTTGCTTATAGTGGTCAGAAGACTCTGCATGTTGTCAGCGTCTTCACCGAGTAAAACTATGTTGTCGGCGTATTCTAAGTCAACAAGTGAGCCTCCTGGTAAAAGTTCAACTCCTGGAGGTTTAGCTGATGAAAGTGCTATCTCTAAAAGTATGTCAATGACAAAGTTAAACAAGAATGGGGAGAGTGGACAGCCCTGACGAACACCACTTGTGGTAATCAGTTCTGATGACAGTTCGCCATAGGCTCTAACTCGACCAGTTGTGTTCGAGTAGAGAGCCTTTATGAGGTTAATGTACTTCTTTGGTACTCCTTTCAGTGACAAACATTGCCATAGAACCTCACGATCAACGGAATCAAATGCCGCCTTAAGGTCAAGAAATACTACTATTGTGGGACGTCTGAATTTGTGTCTATGTTCTAGAACCTGACGTAGGGTGAATATCTGGTCTATGCAACCACGTCCAGGTCGAAAACCAGCCTGGTTTTCTTTAGTCTGCTCTTCACGAGCTTTGGTTAGGCGACCTGGTATTATTGAAGCTAATATTTTAGACACTATATTAGTCAAACTGATCCCTCTGTGATTGTCACAAGAGAACTTTTGTTCTTTCTTATAGACTGGCACAATCAGTGATTGGGACCAGTCAGATGGAATTACGTCCAGTTCCCAGATTCTACCTAAGACCTCAGTCAATCTCACTGCTAGTACTGGACCACCATCCTTAAAAATCTCAGGGGTCAACCTGTCAGGGCCTGCTGCTCTCCCTCGCTTCAGATTTCCTATAGCTTTTTCAACCTCACAGAGGGTTGGAGGACTTACATCAATTTGCCATTCAGGACGACTGGGGATCGTGGGTAATTGAAGTGTGGCTGAAGGCCAGTTGAACTGATCCCTAAAGTGTTCTGCCCATCGATCCAATCTCCTGGATTGAGAATGAATAATATGCCCATCTTTATCTGAGATGGTTTCACTGATATTCGGGTTCCTAATACCGGTTTCTCTAACGAGTCTGAATAGCTGCCTACTGTTACCTATTGCCGCTGCCTTTTCCATCTCTCTTGCTTTCGCTACCCACCACTGTTCACGATCATTACGTAGGCTTCTTATAAGCCTGCGCTTAAGTTGACTCCGCTCTTCGTTATGCTCAGAGCCAGGTGGGATGAGTTTACGAGCATCTATCAGTGCGGTAGATGCTGCCGAGATCCATTGTTTCTCCCTAACGTTATGGTTTACCTTACTAGCGGATATCACTGCTGTTTCCACAGCTTTTCAGATGTCATTCCACGCTGCCTCGGGGTGGACACAACTTACATGGCTGCCTAACTGTTTTCCTAGTTGTTCCTGAAATATATTCTTAGCTTGCCTATCATTAAGTATAACCCTTAGAGGCTTCCCTGCAGTGTCTTTCCTACGACCAGTAAGACTCAGACAGATACGTGCTCGCACTAGAGCATGATCTGAATCTAAACATGTGCCCCAGAATGAGCGACAGTCTTCTATCGAGCCCCTCCATCGGTGGCTGATAGCGATGTGATCTAATTGGGTCCAACGTTAGGACGAATTCGGGGGTCGCCATGTCAAAAGATGTTTTTCCTTATGCTTAAAGTTAGTATTTGCAAGAAATAGGCGGTTATCTGAGCATAGCTGCAACAGACGGTCGCCATTATCTGTTCTTTTCGCCATGACACCATAAGATCCACCCAGGTGTCTTTCCCTTTCACTTAGTTTACCTACTTGAGCATTAAAGTCACCTGCTACTATTACTACATCAGAACGCCTAGCTTCTCGGAGAAGGTCAGAAAGTTTCCTGTAGAACTCATCTTTTATATCGTCTGAGCTGCAGTCAGTGGGAGAGTAGGCAGAGACGACGAAGAGGCAACGACGAGTTTCCCTATATTTCCGGGTCCTTACTGATCCGTTTAGTCGGACAGCGCATAGACGACTGTCTAATGGGATCCAGTCTTAAAGAGCTAGTTCTGCCCTAGAACTTAATGCTATACCTACTCCAGCGAGGCCACGGGAAGCAGCATCAGGGCTTCCAGATACACGAAGCGTGTATCGAGATAAAACTTTATTTTGATTAGGTGCGGTCAAATGAATGACACTACTCGGATCTTGTATGCGCGTTTCGGAGACGCAGCACACATCGATGGTGTAAGATTCTAGAGTACTAGCTAAGGAAGCCTGTTGTCCTATTTGGCACAATGTTCGGACATTAAAAGTTCCTATATGTAGTTTAGAGCGTGGTTTCAGGAGACCAGGAATAACGTTCTGTGTACTCGAATCGTTTGCCCTAGCGGTGCGAGGTGATAAAAGGACGTGGGAAGGGTTAGTCGTGGAGATAACAGAGTTATTAGGTGTAGGAAGGATTTGAAAGCGACCAACTTGGTCTTGTGTGCAGTTAAGGGTATGAGGGCTAGTATCACTTCCCGGCTGCCCACACCGTGGAAGGGTATTTCTTGAGGGACCTGAAAAAGAAGTTGGATTAGTGTTGGTCTTAACGACCTGGGAGCGTGACCGCAGTGCCCAAGGGACATCTGCTTGAGGCCGGTCACGCACGGCCTTTTTGTGGGGATTTTTGATGTGTTAGCTCCGTTCTTCAAAAGTCCTTACCGCCGGAGACGGAAATCCGTGGGATAAGGCGAGGTGTGCATTTTTAGGGTCGACCTTTTCTAACCCCACCCCTCCTTATGGGAAGGCAGCATCGCTGTCATGCTGGTTGTCTGAAGGAAACACCTTACTGCTTTCACACCTCTGTACAGTCAGCAGTACGACTTCGCCTTCGGACCTTGGGATTGCTGCTTTTAGTCTCACCGCTCTTCAACCGACCTGTCTGGCATGGTAGGACCTTGAGGAACGATTGTTCCAGCCAGCATAGCTCGATTGGATCATCACGATAGGCAAGCCCGACCACCACGTCAAGGTAGCAGCAACGGTCGGGCCACTTTTCGTTTAAAGTATAATCAACTGCAAAGTTAATAATGAAAATATTTAGTTCTGTATTGATTGATCGTCGATTATATACCAACTTTATATTTGCTTAATACTTTACTATAGAACACATTCTAACGATTAAATTATTATTTGATCACTAGTTTAAGTGACTCGATATAGTATACACTATGTTTTTTACATTAAATAATTGGAAATAATTAATAAGGGTCTCTGAACTCAAGTTGAATGCCAGTTGGCACTCGTCATCAATAGGAGAACTAATACTCTCTGTAGAATTCAATTATGAAACATTTAGTTTTGTGTTTTCTATATAATCTTGATCAACGTCGATGAATTACTTAAATGAAATGAAATTATACACTTTATTAATCAAAATAGTTCATATTATGTAGATAGTTCACTGAGTTAATTCCTTTGTTGTTTGTCTAGCATATCATGAACGTATGTTGCTTATGAATGATACACATTCTTAATTAACTTAACTGGGAAACAAATTTTAAACAGACATTTTACTATTTACTAAGGCTTCCAATATTATTGTCGTTTAACCAGTCTGTCAATGGATGTTGTAAGAAAATTATTGATAAACATAATGTTATCTACAGAAGAAAAGGGAAACTTTGTGATCAATAAAGTTAATCGGATGATCATTTCACGTTGAAAACTAAGATTAAAACACAGAAGGTGACGAGCAAGTCACATGATATGGATCAGCTGATTAGTTTACAATATTATTTCTAAGCGAAAGAATATTAAAAAATAATTACCATTTGTGTGTTTTATTTTTATGAAACAATAAAATCAAATTATTGATAAATTTAATTTTTCAGAGATGGCAAGAATTATTCGATCCTCAAAAGACAGGCATAATTACACTTTCAAAATTTTGTGATGTATTAGGATTGGAACTGGAGGCTTTGTAAGTGATTCATTTTTGACGTTGACTATTAATATTTATAAAAACGAATTGTGGTTATATTAATGCCTAATACAGATTGGACTAATGATTTTACTATAGAGTCCAATATTGTATTGGCTTACTCCGATAATCTATACCAAAATCACCAACTTAGAATCCATCCATCAGAACACTTTAGAACGCGGGACTTTTAATGCAGGGTCATTTGTGAAAAAAATAATCAAACTGGTGAATACCACAACGTATACAGTATTTTGCATTCCTATAAGAACAGGTACCAATTTCGTGACATAGAGGATTTTATGTTAATCGAGGTTAGAAAGGTTACAGTAGTTGTTGTCATTGTAGCAACTCCGATATGTAATAATAGTAATGACAAATCCAAGGAACATGGTAAAAATCACCTAGTTCCCAACAAGTGAAAAGTTTACTATGGAACGAATAATTGTTGACTGGTTTTTCAAATTTTCTATACAATCCACGGAGCCACAGTTTAGAAATATATAGCAATCGTTTATACTTGAATTTAGCTAAACTGTTTCGTCCTAATACGGTATATTTCAAAGTTATGCAGCCATAGAGCGTGGTTTCTTAGAATCTCATCTTGAGATTATGAGGACAGTCCACAAGTGAATTTGAGGAAGCTCTAACAAGCTCAGAAGGAGCCGAACATATACTATCCAATCAGCTTTGGGAAGATTATTCCAGAATCACTATGTCTAGTTTCCCTTTTGGACAATGCTAATATCCCCCTCTGTGTGCGGACTGGATAACTTTAATGATGATTTCGTTTTTACTGAAAAACTATAAATACCTGACAGTTTTGTACCATAATTGACACTGCTTTGAGAATAACATTCCTACTTACTATAAATAAATTATATATTTGTAATATCCCAATGAGTAGAAAAATTAGATTTTCTGACGTTTCGTGACTCAGTGTAAGCCACTTCTTCAGAGAATAAATAACCAAATTCCTACTTACTAGTATTTTGTCTTCTCTCTTGCGATGTTGCGGGTTCGATCGTTCAAGTAGTCTAGTAGTACTCATCATAGCAAGAATCTAAGCTCTAGATATAACAGAGCTCTTAACCTCTAAGCTATTAGATCAAGCTACAACAGTTCCAATTTCCTATCATCCTTGTCTAGATTGTTAGAACAATAATTAAAGCAAACCAATCTGATGTGAAAATAAGACATTGAATACTGTCTGGATAGTGTTTCATTTTATTCTTAACCGTTCGAAAATATATATCTGCTGTAAACTACTGTACAATTACTTACAAACCAATTCATCATTGAAATACCTGATTTCTGGACAGAAAATTAAACGTTTTCAGAATTCAATGTCATTTTTATTACCATTATCATTGTTTATTCAGTTAACTGAATGAGTCAACGTAGATTTTTCAATAGATTCAATTGATTGTCTATTTTAAGATGACCAATCTGTATACACTTTATAGTTAGTTATTCATAATTCAATTTTCATTCGGTCTATTGTTGTTTTCTTTCTTTATTAAAATGAAGTGAATTCGATAAAGTTTTACTTTCATTCACATGTTCCACTATTTGTTTTTCAATAATTGCAATTCATATCACTGAGTTAGATCATTTGAATTGCGATATTTTTTTGAACGACTCACGTATTAAATGATCGAATTTTAAAATATCTATGTTAATTTTAAGACCACTAAGAAACAGCTTTTCATTAATAATTTGAAACCCATAAGCAGCAGTCCAACACAAGCTGTAGGAACTAGGACGTACAGAGGTTACTAAGACTATGATAACGTTAATTAACTAAGTTAAAACACAATGCTCTATATTTTTAACTCCGATCAGTTTCTGATATGGCCCTACCTTTATCAAGCAGCATTGCTGAAAAATGGTCCCATTTTCAAACTGATTAGATGTATAAGAAAATTAATCAAAGATTTACTGAAGAATTAGCTTCGGTATGGATTTCTCAGACTCTTAATCTAATGCACTAAACTATGGATTTCATGAAGTCATGGATTGTTCCAACAATGAAGTCGATGACGGTGACGTTTTATGAAAAATTAATTTAGTTTAAAATTATGATCTATTATATTTAAACTAAATAGTTTGAAATTATCTTGCTCATCACGATGTATAAAATCACTCATTTCTATTTAGTGTATGATGATCGCCGTACATAACAGCATTCAAAGCCATAATACAAACTCTATTCACTGTTCCTTGATATTCACCATTTCTCAAGCTCTTAACTACTCTCTTCAAAATGAATTAATCTTTATCAACGACTTAACTAAACAAATGAGTAAATTGTTTTGAATAAATAATATGAAAAATATATGATTAAAGTCCACATTTTAGTCGAAACAGAAATATCAGTATCTAATCGACTTATTATTAAAAATATCAAGTTTGTCCTTTGCTCAGTTAGTTATATCTATATATACAATCGAATTTTTGACCGAAATTTCATTGCATTCATTTTGTTGTATACAGAAAGTACTATTCAATTTGACTTTATACATTCTGATATACTTTAAAAATATTTTTTACATGTGTGGTAAAATAATAAATAAATGTGTTTTTGAAAATAATTGGACTAAATAGACTGGATAACGAGACGAATTCGCTGGTGTAGATTTACTACTACTACTATTACTACTACTACTGCTACTACTACTACTACTGTAGTGAGCAGAATACTAGTTGGGTACAATCGAATGTATTAAAGCAAAGATTACAGACTATGTTAGTAAATTTTGATAACCAAACAATGAACAGCCAATTTGCAAATTCACAACCAATTGTTTCAATCTTCACTGTTTCTTCCCTTTATCCATTGCTCATGCATTTTCCAAGCGATTGCGCTTCATTTCAGTTCTTTCGTCATCGGTCTTCTGCCAAAATACATTTTATGTCTGACCCACACCATATACTACTTATATAGATATAAGTAGACCACACCATACTACTACTACTACTACTACTACTACTACTACTAATAATAATAATAATAATAATAATAATAATAATAAATCTCTCCTTAGTCCGCTGAACTGATGGGACCTTATCGATCATGTTAAATAAGAATGAGGTTAACATTTCAATGTACCAATTCACATAAGTATCAACTCAAACATTGAAAATATTGTAACCATGTATTATTGGTTCTTAACTTAAACTGCCCTGAAGAACACTGTATGTCAGATGTTAGTTCATTTAACTAATAATTAATTGAAAGAAGAACTAATATAATAAGTATATATTTGTTTACTTTGAAGTACCTTGCATTATGCCGCGAAACGTCAGAAATATAATTTTTTCTACTCATTGAGATATGACAAAAAACATATTTACTATTAACTAACTACTCAATGATCAATTTATTTGAAACTATCAAGTCCAACCATCTTTTTCATACTAATAATTAATATAAGAGTATTCACAATTCGACTTTTTAATTTTCATTTTTGTGATACTCAAGAGAATGTTTTTTTTATGGTTCGGACAATTTTATAATGTATAGGATCAACAGTAGCACAATAAATAAAGTTAGTTGAGAAATTATTCTAAATCAGAGAGGATTGAACGAATGTTTAGTCCCAGTTTATTACTTTTTGATCAATGCACACACAGGTATGACTACAAACGAAATTGAATTCGTTACATTCATCTGCATCCAATGTCACTGTAATCTAACCTTAACCGTGGTAGAATTTTTAAATGATGGTCATTGGGTTTAAGAAGAAAAAGATTTCAGTCACTCATTGAAGCATAAGCTGACCAATTAACTGATTACAGAATTCAGGAAATAAAGCTCATTAAATTTTTTTTCGATCAGATAAATATAATAATAAAAATAACTTATTATATACAAATATTGTAATTACAAAACAAGTTAGAAGTACATATTAGTGAGTTAGCTAAGCTTAACCACTTCATTTATCTCAGAAGTTTCACCGGGAGTAATGGGTTGATGTTTGACGTGATCTCGGAACGGATTGGAACAGCTCTCTTGCAGTTTGCTAACTTGCGTAGGCGAGGTGTCCATCTCCCAAGTAAAGGGTCTTTTTACTGCTTAGCAGTTTGTTCTGTTCTGCTTAGAGGCTAAATTTGATAAAAGGTGTCTTTCAACAAGTGCTCGTATATATTGAGACCATCTTGTTAACAATGTTAAGGTTTGCCATACGGTATTAAGTAAAGATGGTAAAATAGTTGAGGAGGTAGTAAATCGTTAAATGAGGTGGGTGGGACATGTATTAACCACCACCTACCTCGACGGGTGATGTGGGCTAGTGCAAGAGTAGGCTAGAGCAAAGCTAAGTGTCATCAGACTAGAAGCTTGAATAAGTCTATACAGTCATTAAATGTTGAACTGAGACATTTATGTCATATCAGACTTCTTGGTTAGTTTCTGTGAGAATATCGTAACCAATGCTTGGTTTCTTTGAATGACATTTCTTAGAATCCGTTGTAATGGCATAGATTCAACCACGTTTTGTCTTCATTTATTGCCACATTTTGAAATTACCTAATGCTTTTCATTTCATGAATTCACTCTTTCTTATCCAATCATATCGTATATATCTTGTCCTTTCTTCTGCTACTTAAACCGTTACCAATTCTACTACTTTCAGATTTGTCTTGATCATATCAGCTTGAACCAATGAAGATGTAGACCAAGTTTTAGGTTCTATGTGAATAACTGGTTGATTTAAGGCTAGGAGAATATGGGGATTAATATTGTTAAATGTCTACGTGATTCATTCTAATATTTGGACATCAGATTCATACTAATCTTATTATATATGTTGTCACCCATATATTTACCTTATTCAATTGTTAAACTGTAACCTTGAGCATGTTTTATACATGTGTATGTTAGTACGTGTTTGTCTATCCATTTCCTGTATTTCTGAAATGACTTAAATAACTGAGTAACTTTATTATTCTATTAGTCGGTATATTACCGAACTCCAATGCTCTACACAATCTCTGCATCCTTTACTATTTGTCGGAAATATCTGTATCCTAAATTCAATGCATATTAAACTTTTGATATACCATTGTTCTAAACGTAATAAATCAACCAATTATTTGTAAAGTAAACATTATTTGTACTTTAGTAAAGCCAATATAGTTCAAACATTGTGCATTCAGTCAAGCGGTCACTAAAAGAACACCATCTCCAACTGTTTTCCATATTTTCATTGTTCTTTTTAATGGGTTTTTTAAACAGAGAATTGTGTTTCATTAAAATATTTATTGCCTACCCTATTTACAAATAATGTTTTAATCTATCATCTTCCTTTCATTGTGTGGGTACTTATCCATATGATAACTGAAATTCTGGCATACGTTTCCAAATAATTAAAATGTTAACTGATAAACTTCGTCTTCTCACTGCATTATCGAAATTTAAAGTGTCAAATATCAGATCATAGTCACCTGGTTTCCATTGGGAAATTCACAACTCCTCTTCCCCTAGAAAAAGAGACATACTTTGTTTGATTCCAGTCTAAAATAACTAGGACACAACTAAAATAAAGTGAAGTAGATTTGCCAAGATTTTGTTGCATTCCAGGAGTGTTTTTTATCAGAAGAAACGGTGAAAACCAGTCAGCATTGTCTGTTGAACCGAATATAGTTTTCTAGAAAATTCGCCTTTCTATTATACTTAAGCCTGTAAAACATCAATTTATGTCATAATAATAATGTAATGTCATAAATTAACTTGTTTGACATAAATTCAACTGTGACATTGGATACAATCATAGATGAACTTGGGCTATGATCGTAGATAGAGGCTGGTTGAGCACAACTTAATACCTCCAATCAGTGATTGAAAACTAGATGTTGATGCTCAAAATTGTTAATTGTGATGGAGATTCCATCATTTGTTATCCTCTTATAAGTATCGAGTAACTTGGTCTGACTCATGTTTATTCCAGGCTCCGTTTCGATAATGATTGAGTAACTAGATGTAGGTGATGACATCACAAATTGGTTAAAAATGAAGTTGTGCCTAACTAGTTTCCGTCTCAGTAGTAAAGACATTATATTTTCTTTATAATAATATACTTCATTTCGTGTGTCTTTGCTGTTGCAGTGTTCTTTACTTTGATAGAACATATAACCACTAATCTTTGATTATCTATCGTTCTCTAACTGATTTCATTTCGTAACAAAAAGTATTTATAAACTGTGAAAATGTCAACATAAACAATAACTAGCTATTTAATTTTTATTTGTAATTTTTGTGTGTGGTTGGGTGATACATTCTACTGTTTAGACGATTCAAATATGTTGAACAAGAAGAATTAAAGGTGGCAACAGATTTACATTCTTCACTGGAAAATGTACATAAACTTCAAGAGAACGGTCAAACGAATAATAACGTAAATAATACAAATAGTGCAAACAATGTAAGTGTATCAACTTCTTTAAAACTGCTTCCCTTTTTTGTATTTATTGAAACATGTATGTGAAAAATATACGTTTTTGTACACATCATTCTATAAGGTTCGAGTCCATAGATTCCTACAACACTGATACCAAACTCTTAATATGTCATAAAGCGAATTTAGTAAACAGAACCTCAGTCGTAATATAAAGAAAAACGCCTTCGTGTTCTTGATGCAATACAGTATTTTTACGCTTATTAATGTTAATGTGGATGTAAAATGTTATAAGAGTGATTTAGAAGCATGCAAACGCATTATGATGTTCATAATTGAATATGAAATTAATGCTAATGTTTTAAAACTTATGTAAATCTTGAGATGTTATCACTGAATATATTTTTAAGTTGTAGGACTGCAGGCTTGTTCAGTGCTGCAAATTAACTAAATATAGGACTATAAACTATTTGATACCAACTCAGTTGTGTAAAGCTAATGCATTTGTCGTAAGACCTTGTAGTGCCGTGTTTCGTTAATTGATCGCTTCGATAACCGTTATTATACCAATCTTAACGGTGTAAAATATCAGAAGGCAAAGGGAAGCGGCAACTACATTTTCATTGACAAATAATGAAGGCCAGAAAGCTGTGAGCACATGAGCAAATGTTAGCAAGCGAAACATACATGACATGCATTGGAGATGGCTGGTAAGTCAACTCGAGAGCGAAGCGATAATAATGAGTATTGGAGATGGCGGGGAAGCCAACTCGCTATGAGCAAGCATTACTCAATATTTATAATCAGACAAAAATGAATGACAGACATATGATGATTGAGATACGAAGTGTGCACACATATACGCTCATATAAAAATATAGTCAAGGTTAATAAGCGAATAGTTAACATGATCAAAATATGACTCATAATATGTAGGTGAATTGGCTTGGCCAGTAGCTAGAATAAAGTATATGGGCTTAACATAAAGACAGATACTACAACCTCAGTGTCTTTGGCTATCTCTGACGTTATTTTGGTACACACTAAAGATTAGTTCTTTATTAGGATGAAACAGTGCCTCAGTACACTCTGGTTTCCAATAATTACCTAGTTGCAATTAGTCTGTAATGTTAAACTAACGTCGAAATACTGAAGTACTCATCAGATTCATATTTTGCGTTACATTTAAAAATGATCATATTTGAAATTATCGACTTCTTGAATAGACAGATTCTTTTTACAAAATATCTTGTCCTAAATACATATCAAACTGGAGTATTCGACTATATTAATTTTTACTGTAAAACTGAAAGCTTGGTGAATACATACCGTTCATATCAATGACTATCTCTGATGGTTATCTGTAAAATGTTTCGTCTTTGTAAACATTGACTATAACCTAAAGAAGGCAATTTACATTAGGAATCTTTTATCATTAAAAACTGACAGAATGTTGATAAATGCATCCATCTGCCATGATTCACATTCTGTTTATAGCAGATTTTTAGAAGTCAGTCAGTGACAAAACAAAGAGTCTATTATAAGGTACCAGATTTGTGGAGGCTGTTCATATTAATGTTTCAATGCATCAAAAACTGAAATCTATTGAAGAGCCATTCCAAATTCTAGGGTAATGAATGTCTATTACATTCAAGAGTGATATACTCTTTACTCAAAATTGATAGTCTCTCAATAATTGTGAAATGGTGGACAAGAAATAAGTACAATAAATGTTTCCTTACTTTGATTAACTGACAAATAACCCACAAATTCCTCTATCTTATCATAGTGAAAATCATTTTAATGTACTTTTTCTGATACCCAATTTGTGTCATATAATTTATACAGAAACGTCTTATTTACCAGGAACAAACAAGTGTTATTACTGTATAATGTGCACTTATTTGGGATATTTTACATCATTAATTTCAATATTCTGGAACAATCGTTATTAGTAAATATTGTAGCAATTCTGAAATTCATTTGCTGATGAAAATCACTACACTTCTCCGTCATGGTAGTTTCTCATCTCTTTTATCATTCTGTGTAGCGAGTTATAATAAACTAGTTCATTATATACAATATCACAGTAGGTACTGTTCATAAAAACCAATTCTATTTCATGATGTAAATCTTTGTACTGATAAAGTTGAATTGCGGATATAGGTGTAATTTAGAACTTGAATTTTGTCCCATTTATTAGCTTGTCAGTTAAATATATCTATATTCTAGTGTTGATGTTCATATCGGGATTCGAACCCACTACCTACCTATCGATATAAATACCTATGCATTATTCACTAAGCTAGTAAATCCAGTAAGATTATTACTGTTGTGAATGAGAACACAGGTGAGGACAACCAAATATGTATTTAGCACAAATTACAACGTTACTGGGTAAAATACAAAAACCATGCTATGATACACTATTTGCAAAATGTTCTTCAATTGCCTCAGGCTTCATTGTTCCTGGATTTCCACACAAATTGCTTTTTATTTCTCTCCTTCTTTCCTGATCTTCTTAACGTTCTGCTGTTAGATATTCTATTCCTTACTCACCATATATACTACTTATATCGATATAAGTAGCTCACACCACACTACCATATATAGACCCTTATAAAGAACCTGTTAATTATCATTTACATTTTTTTAATTGTGAAAGATGTGTTTGTTTTTTTCTTCGATCAATATAAATAAAAATATAGGGATTATCAAATGAATTAATCAAGTCAACTGATTATCAAGAGATCTCTGGTGATATGCCAGCAGAATTGAAAGAGACAATCTTTGCCATAGTTACAGAAGGTGAAGATATATATAACAACAATGATAAAGTAAGTTTGTTTTATTATTGTTATTATCAGTACTATTATTTGCAAAGGTTTATTATTGAGACCATGAATTGATCAATGTTAGACCACCATTTAAAACCTAGAAGCATTAGATGACTGTTTCGTCCTAGTATGTTGTTGATATTAAGAACCGAATTTCAATTAATCTCTGAAAGAATAAACGGGCTGATTGAAAAGTTGCCTAATCAATACTTGTGTTTATAAGTTTATTATATTTTGAATAACTGCTAGTAGTGGAATCAAGGCAGTAGGTTTTTTCTGTTTGGGGCATATCGTCGTGGTGTATCTACATCTTGACTCCGATGTCCTCATTACTTCAAACGTCAAAGGGTTTATTTGGCTTATTACTGAGTTATGAAAACTATCATTAGTTGCTTGGTAAAAAAAGTACTGGAGTTCAAAAAAAAGAGTTAGCTCTAGTACAACCTTCACTCCGAACGTTAAGGTATTGAATAGAGAGAGTAAATCAATTTATTTACCTGTGAATCTTCACTGACTCACGTATTTGAAAAGTATATTAACGATCTCTACCCATCGACTATTCAAAACTGCCATAGAGGCTACCATGGAAGTAAGCAAGGAAGGAATGACCATACAAAAGAACGATATCAGTTTACATAGTAGCCGAATGTCAATCTTAATCGTAAATAAAAGATTTGATTCCGCATAATATTCGTAATCCATGATGACATAACTTTTTCACTTAAAACACTAGTGAGAATAATAATAATAATTTTTGTAATATCCAAAGGAGTGGGAATTTGTATTTCCGACTTTTCGTGACTTAATGTAAACCTTTCCTACAGAGTAAATAAATATTTCAAGTATATATAAAAATTACCTAAAATTTCCACAGAAAACCCCCTTATCATATGCTCACTAGTGACTGGCTCCATGAGGTATTTCCTGGAGTTCTAGTGAGAAGCAGTAACCAATGGAGTTAAACCACGTCTGTTGGGAAACATCAACTGACTGATGACATTGGTGAAATGGTTGTTCAACTTCGTGAATTGGTTGAAGTGAGACATTAACACCGTTAGATGCCGGCTAAATGGTCTATCGGTCAAGTGCTCTGGCGCGAGACTAGTAGGTCCTAAGTTTTCACCTCGCGCACTGCTGAGGAGTCCCATGATAGAACGAAAACGGCCGTCCAGTGCTTTCAGGTTTTCGATGGTAGTCTAGCTTCAATTGACTCATGATTTCAAGTATATATAAATATTTATTTATTGGGACGTATATTATCATAACTCATCTCTCTGTACTGTATTCTCTACTCCTAATTTTCCGTTTCCACTGATATTGTTTAAATTGCTTTGATTTTTATATTTTCACTGTGTTGATGTTTTTTTTTTAATTCAATGGGCCGATAAACATTTGTTTGAAGTTATGCAATATGTTTGACGGGTTAACTGTTTCAATCAGAGCTTTACTATATCCATTGCACAATAAATCAATTAATAGATAGACTTTTAGATAAATCAAGAGACTATAAAATTTAGTTACATAATTTTAAAGGTATGGAATATTTATAAAATCCTTCCGTACAACCTTAGTGTAATCTCTTTGATGAATATATTAGGAATACCTTTTTCGACGTTTTAAAAAATCTGATTTAATAATCCACAATATCAAACTTTGTTAATATTCGACAATAATTAGGATTTTTTTTAAATGGGTTCTTAGGTAGTTATCAATGACAAACATTCGTGCACACACAGATTTGTAACATTCTTGAATAATTAAATTAAAAAAGTAATCGTGGATGATAATTTCGTCGAAAAGAGAAGTTTCTTCGCTGAATTCTCTTTATTTTTATTCAGTGACACAATGGGTTATTTTAATGATCATGGATGCTTGGAATTGAGTTCCCTTTTTAGACATCAGTTGTTTAATTCACTACTGTTCGTACGATTGAGTTCGTGCATACATTTTCTTGGTTTAATATAAATTATTTTTCACATAAGCGTTTAAAATAACTTGAGATATACGTTACAAAAACTGAAATGAATGGTAAGTAGTTGAACAGACAAGTTTTGTCATGGTATACCAGTTCTTTGCAAAAGATAATCTTCTTTTGAAGTCCTTCAACTCTTGAAGTTTGTATGTACGTATGTATATATGTATAATTTACATATAAATTCGTGACTGTTTATAGATTCGACATTACTTCAAAAATGCATTCATAGTAAGGACTAACAGAGTTTAGTTTAGTCTTCTACTACGTTTACAGTAAATTTTTCTGCTTTCTGATTCAGTCACTATTTATGGTTTGCACGACGTGTAAAAATTACCTGATATTACCATATCTGTTTGAAGCAATAGGATCAATAGAGTTTAGCAAAATAACTGAAAGCATAAGTATGTCATACTTACATGGATCGTAAAATTTCATAGTTTGGCTGTCAGAAATACGTTTAAAGTACTCCAGTCAAACTCAATATTCATCTAAAGTCACAATGAATAATCGGTTAATTTTAATGTGGACTTGAATATAGGTTTATAACTGCGAAGGTTCCCACTAAAGAGATAATGTACACCCTGGATATTTTACGAATAGTTCCACAATGACTCGTTCAGTGGCCATTCAATGGTGTCTTGCTTTGAAATTGGTGATCTGATTACTCTAATTAGGAAGATGAAATTTACGTAGTTAACCAAGTGACAATCAGATAAGGTCCCAATACGGTCATATGCGAATTATCTAACAAGAAAAAAAATATGAATCGAGTGTATTTAGAACTGAGTAGTACCTGAATGAGAATGAATCAGTTGTTCAGTAGTACATCTTAACATCTGATGCTGTTATTTAATGATGAAAAGTATTGCAGGATGTACGGTAGAATACTGACTGTGACTGACGAATTTTTATAAACTCTCACATATTACCCTAGTTACATTTCATTAAATTTATCACTCAACATATTTAATCATTACATAATCTGTTAGGGTATAAATGGCATAGATTAAAATTTTTCAATCTATCATCGTAAACGTGGGGTGTGGCTATATGTCCCTGGTTATTATTGCCTAAAAGACCCATAAACATAGGCTCAAACCCCAACTAAAATATTGTGAGAGATATCAAAACATTTATTGTTGGATTTAGCAAGTGAATGAGAAGATCAACGGTGTTTAAATTCTAATACAAGCCTAGCTAAATTGATGATTCTGAGTTTTGTAAGGTGACTATCGACAACGCGTTAGTAATTGCACTGTTTCGTACTGTTAGCTCTGTCAAATAACATTTTAAGGGTATAGAAATATTCATTATCAACTAAAAAAATAAGTAACTTTTTGTTCTGGTTGTTGTTAAACAAGTATATTATAGTTATCTTGATCATAAAACGATTATTTCAGTGTTTCTGTTCAATGCCAGTGAACTTTACCACTATACGAATGTCTTAATAGGAATCCCTTCTTTAAAAAATAGGTATTAATTCAACATTTTGATTGAAGTTACTGACGTTGGACTGTTGAACTGCTAAACTAGTCACATGCTTATATCCTAGTAGCTTATACTCTTGAATTGATTAGTTAGTTGAAACAAACTAGGCTTATTACAGATTAATGATAAGAGGGTTTTTTTTCGGTTAAAACATAACTTTCCAATCTATGCTGATTTGCGAAATCTGTGTTTAACTAAGCAAACATTTGAGCATAAAGATCATTTTGACTACTTTGATTTTATTTAAAGTGAATTGTCCTTCCATAATTACTTTTAAATTTATAATATGAAGAAGTGATTCCGACGAAATTCGTTCAACGAAAAATTTCCAGATTCATTTAAAATTGTATGAATACAAAACAAACTACTCGTGAATAAGCAAATGAAATTCTTTAAATTTTACTAAAGCGTTAATGAACACAATGAATATTTCAGGATATAGAAGTTTTGGAATTTTCTCACCATTATGTTTGATAAAAATTGTACACTTCCTTAAAGTAATAATTTGTAATCCATCGTAAATAGTTTTTAGGAAGATATCGATTGCATTTGATGTAAAATGTGGTTTATTTAGTCAGAAATTCCATGGAATCGGTTGTCAAAGTGTATCTAACCTAATAATAAACATCATTACAACCAATACTATCAGTAATTGATTGACGTTCACGTTTCTGTCCTACAAGGGGTCAGTTACGATTAGGCTACATCAGTGGTAATGACCATTGTTGTTGTCATGGTTAATGCGGGCTTGAATTACATAGTAAACATTGATTTACATTTGATCGGAGCTAAGGCTTTCTGATAGTTGTAAACATAGTTCAGGAGTGAATTGATAATTAAAATACAATCAGCACTACATATTAAAAAACACTAGTCATTAAGCAGTGTTCAATTCATACGAATGAGACATGCAAATCTGCTTAATACGATCATTCAACTACAAGTCATTAGGTTTAACTCACTCAGCACTAAGGTTATCTTGCCATTCTTATCCAAATATGTATATCTTGACCAAGCAAATAATTGAATAATTTGAAATGTACTAAATCCAAACACTATAATTGAAACGTGGGAATCAGTGTCACACGAATTCAGAGATATCGAATCAAAGTGAAAACAACGTACGAAAATCTTGAAAGTCAAGCTGAATAAACTTCTTTTCTGTATGAGGTTGTGAAGATTATTCTTCTTCACTGAAGACAAGAACTGGTCTATGTCACAGCACCATTGTGCGTTTATTATTGAACAGTAAGTGTTAATTGTGACACTCAAAAGTATCATGTACTCACTATTCACTAGCTTCGAGAGAAAACTCCCAATGTTTTAGTGACAAGTCGTCGTTACCTTTGCAGTCCAATGCAGTTGAGTGTGAGTTAGCTACTCACCAAAGACAATGACCAATGGTCACGCAGTGCTGTTTACTGATTTAATGTAGATATAAATACCGTTGGATACCGACTCAGTGGTCAAGAGAATAAGGGTCCGCATGTTAAACCGATAGTGGTTTCGATCCCTGGTGTGAACATGAACTCTGGGACGCAGGTTCGTCTGGTTGACGAGTCCTAAACAGGGCGAAACACGAGCCCAGAACTTCACTACCACTCACATGCCATCTCTGCTTAAAATGCTTGTGATTTCAGGATGATATCGAGAGAATGATTGACTTCAGTCTAAAAAGTGACAGGGAAGATTCAAACGATCAACACTTATGAATTATGTGTTCAGTTATTGAGACAATTCCATTCCTCTAAACTGGTGCATGATCTTTAATTATTTCGTAAATGTACTCTATTATTGATATTTATGGGGCGTTAGATCAATTAAATATACAACATGTAGATTTTAGTTATAAAGTCAAATGAAATCAATTAATAGATGAATAAATCAAATTTAATAATCATTCGTTATTACGTAATAATTAGTAATCACTAATTTACAACTGTATCATTCACATTTTCATTTAGAAATTTAATTTAACTAATTCAAGTAGTATATTTTTAATCGAGTTAAACTTTAATTCAATTTATTGAGGCCATTCATCGATTTTGACTGTTATGTTAAATGAAACTATTCTGTATTTTTGTTAGAGATTTGTCTCTCGTGGAATATATCATATATCGTTTTACTGAATAGTGTAATCAACAATCATCAAACATCTCCATGTTAACATTGTTTTTGTGATAGAAATAATTTCCCTGATTATGTACAAGGAATATATGTATAAATGATTATTATCAGAAGGAGTTTTATGGAGATTTAGTATTTTCATAGTTAAGAGCGTGAGTCAATTGAAGCTAGACCACCATAGAGACCTGGAAGCACTGGACGGCCGTTTTGTCCAATTGTGGGACTCCTCAGCAGTGCACACTCACAATCCCGCACTCGCGAGATCCGAACTCAGGACCTACCAGTCTCGCATCAGAGCACTTAACCGATACACCACTGAGCCGGCATCCCATGGTGTTTATGTGTAACTCCAACCAATCCACCAAGTTCACCAACCGTTCACCAATTGTCTTCAGTCAGTTCATATCTCACAACAGACGTGCTTTCAACTCCACTGGTCACTGCTTCTCACTAGAACTCAAGCAAATATCTCTTCAAGTCAGTCACTAGTGAGCATTTCATTATTATTATTATTATTATTATTATTATTATTATTATCAGGAGGGGTTTTGTGGAGATTTAGTATTTTCGTAGTTTAGAGCGTGAGTCAAATGATTGGATGGCTTTACAAGTTGATTAAATTTATTTTCATTATTTGGCAATGTTTTTTTTAAATATCTCTGTCACTTGGAAAGTTATTCTTTTGAAACATTTAAGAGATTGTTTATATTTTCGAAAGGGGGAGAACAAAATATTTACCGGATATATAATAATTAAAAAGAATTAAACGATTAGGTATTGTGATTGATGGACTCAATAGTTTTTTTTGCAGTTAAACGAATGTAAATGAAGTTAGTTTCCTTTCCAATGTAAGGTAGATGCACATTATCACACACACACACACACTTTCATATACACACGAATGCTCATATAAAATCAGTATTTTGAATATTTTTTGTCAGAGCTGAATGGTTATAGAATAGTAACTATGATAATATTTAGTGATATCATTTTTTTCTAAGTATATTTTTGATTGATTGAACTTTAGTTAGTTGATTGATTGTTTATGGGTTGTGTACAATTGAACAGATTTATAAATATACCCTATCAATTGATGTCTGTGATGATAAAAATTGTTAAACCTTAAAATATAAGCATTATATCATAAGGTTTTTAAAGCCAATCAACAGAAAGGTAGCTAGCTTTTGCTCATTTTAAGATATTTACTTCTTTAAACAAATAAGAGCCCATCCCGACGCCATATGTCCGTCAAAGAAATCCTCCATTGAACTATGTAGGTCTTAGTTGAGCTCTTGAATTCAGTTGGCTCTAAGAAATGACTATAATAATATCACACTGTCTACTATTCAGTGATACATCAGCATAAAGGCGTCACAATTAAGTGAAACTCATCTATTAACAAAACATACAATATTATCTTTTGATAACATCAATATCAATCAATTTATTTGAATATATTTGGGGAAACTACTGCAACATTTTAACTTTTAAGGTTCAAAGCAAAATATGTAAAAAAAAATGTTTTACAATAGCAGTTGAGCTTTAAAGGTCTTGAAACGGTACTACTTTTACCTACTAGAGTTTGTATAAAATCTGTGATGTTAAACTGACTACATGAACCTATGCTTGTCAAATAACTTATCAATTATATATATATAATCATAAACCAACAATCGATCTATGCATGGACAAGTGACATTGTGAATATCAAGGTAACAAACGTAATTGAATACTCATCGAGTTAGTTTAATTCCTTGTCTGCACTATAAATGTTTCATAAATCTCATTTATTTGTAAAGTTTGAATTATTGTGACCCACAATGAAATTATATCGGTTTATCCATAATATTATTTTAAATCTTTCTTTAGGAACTAGTTAAATGGATCAAATTACGTTTGGACAAGCATTATAAACGTTTATGGCATTGTGTAATTGTACGAGGTCAATATTCATCATTCTATTCGTATCAACCAGGTTATTCATTTTGTTTCCGTCATGGACCACGTGTTTTTCTATTGTTTAAAACACCGAATACTTAAACAAAATTATTATTTGTGTGTTTTGCTTGTGTATTTCTAATCGTTTTTACATATCATCATTGAAACTATTTAACCACCTATACATTCTTAGCAACGACAACAAATTGAACAGGATATAGAATAAAACATATCGATTCTACCGGGAGGAAACATTTCAAGTCAATATTCAATTACCATTTATTTTAATGCAGTTGTATAAGTTAAAACAAAAGAAAACCTTCGCTCCTAACCCAGCTGTAATTCTTTGATCTTTTTTTTTTAACACTGAATTTATTTTTTTTCCCAGTTATAACTTGGGTTGTTACGTTTTACATGTTATACTGTGCTTAGCATAATTTTCATGGAATATCCCAGAATTGATGGATTATCTTGTTCATTTCTGATAGTTTAAGTAACTCTATCCAGTAATGAGGCATGAATATGAACTAGGATGAATTATTTTATTGTAAACATTATCCCAAGTAGTCATAGGATCTCAAAATCTGACGTTCCTGCATGAGATTTACTCAAATTTTCAACCTTGATAGACAATATATTGAATATTTCTTTAATTTAAAGATATTTCACTTTAAGTCCGTTAATCTATGAGGATGGGCTCAAATTTGACATAATAATCATAGTTGTACCCTAGAGATAAGTTTATATTAGGCTGAAAAATGATATCAGTCATGTTTCCAACAAAAACAAAAACGCTTTTAAAACTAGAATGTTACACACGATTCAACTAAGATTTTTATTATGTTTTTAAATCTGTTTGTTAAAAGACATTAAATGACAAAGGTTTATGATCTGGAAACGCGGTTTTCATCTAATTTTAGCGTCTTATCCTCATCACTATCTGCCGACTTTAACAAAATTTATTATTTATAATCTATGCTAACATTGAGCTGTTATTTAGTTAATTTACATAATCTTGATTGCTTAAATCAAGGGCCATCGACGTATAGACTGCCGTTATGTTTAGTTAATTAAACCTTGCCCACGTACAATAACGGTGACAAGCCTGAAATTCTAATAAAAAGTTATCTCATGTATATATCTTAGTGGTTAGTTAAATAGTTAAAACCAGTTTTTGGCATACTATAAGATTGTAAACAAAATTATGAGTGCGGAATTTCACATAATCTAAATCAACTTTCCCACGACTACAGAGATTTTCTATTATTAAGTAGTCTCTCTATGAATACTTTAAATATTGCAATGGTAATCATGGATATAGTAGTCATTCCATACACAAATCACTGCTTGTTTAAGTCAACCTTTTTGATCCTTAACATCATTTTCGGAGCAAGAATGCTTTTAGGGTTGATTGGGATTAGGAAGATGATAATGAATTGTTTTATCTGTAGTATGCTGAAATTGAAACCAATGGTTTCGTATCGTATGTGTAGAATAAATAAGCAGAGTATTGTGTTTATACTGGTCTATTCTAAGATTACTCTATTAGAACACATGATCCTTCATACTAAGGTTCCACGTTTTGCATTATAAGTTATACACCCAGAAAATTTATACATAAAATAATAATTGTTTGTCTCCTAGCTACAAAATATTTCAGGTAGCGGAATACCGAATAGGTGATTTGATTGACTTACAATGAATATGAATCATGCTACGAATATTCAGTAAAAATGTAAAGATAATTTACAGATTAAACAACACTATTTTTGGATTATAGCTGAAAATTAAAACCATGATACAATTTTTATCCTATTTCTAACTCATTAATGGATTTACTCGGATCTCATTGGTAATGTTCATAATGAAATCCCAATCCTGTGTCTACCACTTTATGCAGTGACAGCCCGAATAATTAGTATCACACTGCTTACACAATTAAGTGGCCCAATGGTAAGCAGAGATGGATAGTGGCTAGCAGTGGAATACAGGACGCGCGTTTCGTCCTATTTGGGACTCGTCAGCTGGATGTACCTGCATCTCAGAGTTGATGTTCACTCTGGGACTCGAACCAAATACCCTCGCTTCAAACGCTATCACATTATCCACTCGGCCACTGAGTCCTGATAACCACTTGCTTGTGCGATGGGGTGAAGTTTAAATTCATTCAGTATTGTTTGTTTGAATCTTCCCATCGATTTGTTAGGAAGAAACGCTCGTCCTGGATTCCACTGCTAGCCACTATCCATTTCTGCTTACCATGCTTGTGAATTAATGCTATATCGAGGCAATACGCACAGTATGCACATATGCCAATTAGAGACTGACCAGTTGCAGTCCTAACAAATCGATGGGAAGATTCAAACAAACAATACTGAATGAATTTAAGTGGCCCTATGTTTGTAGTAACAGTGATCAAATTCTATCATCAGTACAAATATCTTAACTTAGATTTCAGTACATTCATCTGATGAGACCCCAAAAAACGAAATGTTCGTTACTAACTCCACCGAAATGTTAAATGTAAAAATATAGTAAAGCATTTAACTACATTTAGTACTTAGGAATCTTCTGCTTCTTCAAACATCCTAAAAGGGACCGATAAAAATTCAATCTTTATTATTAGCAACGTAAAAAGCACAAACACTTATGAATAATAAATAAAATTATTCTATACTCATACTTCCTTTTTTATTAGATTGGAAAGTTCAATAACAATGATTTGTGTTGAATAGTATGGATTCATGAGTACAAAATTTGACAAAAAACATCAAAGGCTGTTTTAACATCCCCACAGTAGTAAAAAAAATTAGATAAATCAGCGGCTTAAGCAGGTCGCTAGGCGCAATAACTAAGAAAAATACAAACCATATCAAGTACACAATTATGTAGAGTATCGGAGAAAATATTAAATATTAATAGTAATAAACAAACTAGCTTGTGAATTATTTACATATATTTCTTACTATAAATAGGGATACTCCTTTGAAGAAATACTTTTAATTTGATTGGTAGTTTTTTTATACATAGCGCATAGAAAAAGGGAAATAGTAATCTTATTGTTTTAAGAACACAAAGAGGAATATATTCGGTGAACAACAGAAATTCATTTGAAGAACTTATTATTATTTTGATAGACTTACAATAAGCAATAACGTGCTACAGTTTTCTTCTCGACGAACCTCTTAAGATTGGTTAATGGTTAAACATTTGTATCTATACTCATTGTGAAATATTAATTGAAACGGTCAGGAAGTTATTGTACTAGATGTAACATCAAATTATTTCAGGTTAACAGTTTTAGATGGTAAACAATATTGGAAAAAGTAAACGTCTCTTTTTTTTATTATAAAATATATATCACGCCAAGATTGTCATATCCTTTCAATGTGTGCCGGTATTCAACTTATCTAAATGCAGTCATGATTCGGTTATCCATTGAAGTGTGAATACTTGTGATGCCCGCAAATCAAATATAGTGTCAAAATAATGAAAAAATCGATGAGGCAATTTCAAAAGATAGAAATTAAAAGGGTATAAATTAATTCAAAGTAGAGTACACATAAAACACCTACTCCTTCACGGCCGTAGATATGCCTTGCTTACAAGCGTCAACTAGCACGAAGGATATTTCAAGGGACTCTGACAGATAGAAAAAAATAAACAACTGCCTGTCACCATATTGAACTGGGTTCAAACAAAGATCAATTAGTTACTGAATCTCATAACTTTTGAAAACGAATAAATATTTACTGTGTTTATCACTGTTTTAAAAACTTTCCACTGATTTAAATAACACAAGAACTACGATAATTACTATTCATTGGATTAATAAACACTGTTTTTTATTTGTCAGATCATAATGTAGTTTTTAAAAACAACTAAAATCCAGAAATATGGTAATCGTTTAATTATGGAATACATCATCAGCGTTAGTGAATAACAAAATGAAACAACTGAATCTTCCTATTTTGGGGGAATCTCGGGGTTTTCGTGTTATTTCTCCAAAAGAAAGAGATTGAGAAGTTAAATACGAGTATGACTTTTGGATAAATATTAATTGATTCGTTAAATCAGCCGGATCAAAGATGTTAGACGTGCCAAACGTGTCAAAATATTACTCATTACAAGCGTTAATATGACTCAAAATGGAGAATGCATATTGCAGCCACGAGACAAGCATTGAGTAAAGTAAAATAATATGCAGACACAAGCAAGCACACATGACATTTATAAGCGTAGAATTACAAGGATATAAATGTAAAAGTTATTGGTAGTGAAGGTCATGATTTCCTATGAATAAAGTTATTAGGATAGTAAAGATGACTTAAATAATCACGCGTACTATTTGCTGATAGCGTAATCCTAACAAAATTTTACATTTTGGAAAAACTGTAGTTGTTAGAGTGTAAGATTATCTCATTAATACAGTTTCTTTTTAATTCCCATCATCATTATTATCAACACATCGATATGCGGTAGATACCAATTTAAAATACTTCACATAATGTTAGGTAACATTATAATAAGTATTCAGGTATCTGGATTTTCCGTTGTATTCAATACAACAGCTGAACGATTCGGGTACAGTGGTCGAAGTCATTCGTATTTTTTCATTGTCTACAATGGTTAATTATCCAGGCTGAAGTAGGGATTGGGGAATAAAATACACAACCCATTTAAATATTGACAATAAGTTGTTTTGGTCACTATATGCTTCGTGGTTGAGAAGCGCATAAATATAAGGCTGATGCAATAGACTGAAGTTATTATTCCCAATATTTAATTTTTGTGAGGTTTCGTCTTATGGTTGTGATATGTTGAACTTCTCCACTTGGGCCAACTGTTTATGTGAATATTCCAGCATTCCCTTTCTCTCAATTAGTATATCTATTTCAACAAAGCTCGTTATGGGTATCTTTAAACAATTAAAGCTCGTTATGTTGTGAAGATAATCCTTAATTTGAATGATAGAATCAGTCAATGAGATAATAATCTTTATAAATGTGTACAACACTTTATTTATATGTTTTTAATAAGAAATTCTCTCGGTTCACTACTAATTTTGTCGGTATCGTGAATGTCAACTGAAAATTAATATAATTAGAATCTTTCTTTTCTAAGCATAATAATATAAGCTTCGTATATGTGTACTTTAACTAGCTACTTGATAGAAAAAACCAAGAATAAATAGGAAACTAATTCCAGCTAACTCGAATAGAAAATATACAACTAACTTATTCATAAACGTATGTTTGTTCGCTCCGAAAATAAAGCCAGATTCCCAACGAATAGTGTATATATGTATTCTTAGCAAGATAAAGTGAGTTGTGACTTGGCTTTTAACTAGTAGGTCAGCATGACGCAGTATATCACCTTTTTTGATAAAGAATTATTCTGGGATTTTGGAATTATCTGGAGGAATCGAGGTTGGAAAATGTCAGTTTAGTTACTTCATTTCAGTCATTTGATGAGTAGTATTCATCGCGGATCTACAAGAGATTTAGGCTTGAAGTGTTGACATCAAAACAACATAAAAAGAACCATTTCTACTATAATTTATCATAATTTGTACTTTAGTAAATACTTAAGAGAACACCTCAATTAAAAAGAAACTGATTTATTATATTAAAACTTCATTTAATACAAGCTATCAGGAGAAGCTCTTAATACATTCAAGAAAAGCATAAAATGCTGACTTTCTCTACAAATTATAAACATGTATAGTAAGCACAAACTAATTTCTCTTCATTTAATTGGCAAAGACTCATGTAGGTAATTTAATTTTCCTGAACTAAAATCAGTAACACAATGTCCATCTCCATGTAAAATCCATTTAGTTGTTAATAGTCCTTCAACTCCGACTGGTCCACGAGCATGAATTCTCCCTGTGTTTATTCCAACTTCAGCACCTGTTTTTTTTTAAAAGTTAAGACAATAATATTTATATTTTGATTTTAATACATATGAATCACATGGTAAAACAATCATTCAACAAATAAAGTAATATAACACTTGCTTATTATGATCATGAACCGATCTAAGTTAGACCACAATAAAAAACCTAGAAGCACTGAACAGCCGATCCATCTTAGTATTGAAATTCTCACCTGTGCTCATCAAAGACCCGCATATACATACAGGAATCAAAACTACCACTAGTCCAGCACGCGAACGCTTGAAATCTTGACCACTAAATTGGCATTCAACGGTATTTATATCTACATTCAATCAGCACACAACACTGCGTGACCATTCTCTATTGCCTTCAGTGGGTAGCTAACTCACACTCAACTCGATTAAACTGCACAGGTCACGACGACATCTCACTAAAACACTGAGAGTTTTCTCTCGAAGCTAGTGAATAGTGAGTACATGATACTTTTGAGTGTGACAATTAACACTTACTGTTCAATAATAAACACACAAACCTGATACTATACTAACAGCAGTGAGTATTCGAACATGAACATTAGAACTGGTCAGGCATCCAGCATACAAGATCGTGAATGTCAGCTGTTGACGATTCCCAATTCTACGACGAAATGTTCATCTAGTTATTCTACATTTTCAATGGTGGTGTAACATAAACTAGTTCTTGACTTCAATGAAACGTAATAATCTTCACAATCTCATACTGAAAAGAAGTTTATTCAGCTTGAATTTTAAGATTTCTATTTTTTGTGTTTTCACTTTGCTTCGATATCGCTGAATTTGTCTAGTAATGATTCTTATGTTTCCACTATAGTGTTTGGACTAAGTTCGTTTAAATGCAACATTCATCGTATTCTTTGTCCAATGTACTGTTATTTCCGCAGTTGGAACAATGTATTTTGTAGATGATGTTCGGTTTTTCTTTTTTTGCTATTTCGTCTTTTGGTTTGCATAAGATTAATTGAAGTGATTTCGTTGGTTTGTGTGTTACACTTATTTCAAATGGTTTTAATAATCTTCTTGTAATTTTTGATGTCTTTTATATTTGATAGGGTGATCCATTTGTTGGTTTGGGTTCTTGATTTTGTTTCTGTTGATGCGTTTGGTTGATGTTTTTTGATGAAGTTGATTGTGTGGCCGTACCAATCATGTGAACAACTGAAGACACACATCCAATTGAGAAAATATGAGATTTTTGATAAAGGGAATACTATTTAAAGGCGCTAGAGAATTTTTAGAAGCTTGACACTGAGGTCAATCAGCAATCAAAAAAACACATTGAAATCAATCCAATACGTCAACCAATCAGAAAAAAAAATTATGGACAAATGTAGAACCAATAATCAAAATAAAAAAGTAGACAATGACAGGTTAAAGGCCAATCAAGATCGAGGTCTACAGGACAAGTCGTGATTCATACGTTGAGACATCCAATCACTTCATTTCTACCTGAAGTTTGTGCTGATGATGTTGTTCAGAAGAACAATGAAAGATTCATGACTAAACCATCCAACTCGGATAACGAAACTCAAACTAGAACCACGTTGTATTGGATACTCCTCTTGATCTAACCAAAATGGACAGTAAAATCGCAAAATAATAGTTCAGTTTACTGACTAGATTTACATACATGTCTAGTCACATACTTAATATATATATATATATATATATATATATATATATATATATATATATATATATATATATATATATATAATGCAGTAAACATATACACTTACCTAACCCAAATCGGTAACCATCAGCGAACCTTGTACTTGCATTGTGAAAAACGCATGCACTGTCTGTTTTCTCAAGAAATATTTCGGCTGTAGCTTCTAGATATTCAGTGAGAAAAAAAGTAAGCATTATATAGTTAGGAAATTAATTTAATAATTACCTGACAGATGATTCAGTTTAGTGGATATATTAGAGCATTCTAAATATTTTCAGTGTGGTTCATTTTGGTCAAGATTAATGCGGAAGAAATGGTATTCTAAAAATCATTGCTTTGAAGTAGATTTTAAGATCCATTATCACGAAATTCATATGAAGGTTTAAATTTCTAGGTACTTATATATGAAAATCATTCAACAATTAATGAATCTTTATTTGATTGATAATACAAATGGTTTGCACAAAACACTAATTAGTTCAGCACAGTGATAAATTACATGACTAGATAAACCCTCTCCAGCTAATCGACATACTTTATATTCTGTTGTTTTTTAGTTCCATATTTAAAAGAAACAATGCACTAAGTTGGTACCAGTCATCAGTGATATAAGAACGTTGATGATTATAGTTTTGTGAACTGTGTTATTTATTTTATTATTTCTTTCAGTAGTGTAAGGGATGATTATTGTCGATTACTTTCAGTATTCAATGTTTTCTTACTGAGTCGTTACCTGGTTTTGTTTTTCATTGAACAGATTGATCTACGTATGCAATTACTCAAACATGTTATATGAAAATGTATTTTGAGTCAATATGTGAAAGGTTAAACATTAATAATAAAAGCATTGATATGTTAAGATAACCTTTCATACATATATAATGAAACAATGCTAACAATACAAATCCATTATGAATAAATGTTTTGCAGACTTTTAGCCATGAGTTCGCACTCACTAACTACGTCATTTTCATGTAGGAAATTCGACTCATGTAGAATTGTGGCGTGGTCTACTTATATCCACATAAATAGTATGTGGTGATGGTCAGACATAGAATGTATTTTGGCAGAAAACCGATAAGGAAAGAAATGAAATGAAGCGCAATTGGTAAGAAAATGCATAAACAATGAAATTAGAGAAGATGGATTGATATTTACAGAAGAAACAGTGAAGATTGAGAAAATTGGGTGCTATTTTGCAAATTAACTGTTTACTAAATGGTTGTCAGATTTTAGTGAGATAGTCTGTAATTTTTGCTTAAATACATCCGATTTTCCCCAGTCGTGTTTTGTTCACTACAGAATAACCATGGCTTACGATTTTAGGTGTATTTAATTACTTGAGCGAGAAATAGTGGAACTTATGAATTAAGTTACTAAAATAGCATGAGTGTAATTTACAACCATACATTAAGTCAATGCAAAATACGGCTGCACCAATAATATAGATTATTTCTAAACCTGTAGAGTGATAAACATGTATTTCATTTAGTTAAAGAGTTATCAGTGATGTGCACCATCAAATGCATATTTAGTCCAATGTAATTGTAGTCAATCTCTACAGTATTATCATTCACAAATTGGTTTAAAATCAAATAGTCTTCATTTTGCTTAATCCCATTCACCTGAAAATATAAGTCTTCACCATTGAAAACTAACAGGTTAAAGTCTTTCACCACCTCAATTAGGTTAACTCCAAATAATACGGTAGTTCATAAAAAATTTCGGGCTCTTGACAGAACAAATCTTTTATTTCTTTAAAAGATTGTACCGTTATTGTCAGTTTGTGACAAGTACTTGGTGTTCACGAAGTGAAAATATTTAAGCTTAATCTATTGATTAAAAGTAATTGATACATTTTTTCTTCTATGGGCCTATTTCCCTAACTTGTTAGATACTGTCTTGAAATAATAATATGCTCTCTGTCTTTATCAAACCTACACAAAGCTTGTACAGACAATGACATCCACCATGTGAAATGACTATAGTCAGTATTTTACATTAAGTATTTTTATATAAATTAAGTGTGGTCAGAGTTTTAACATAGCGGATAAAGGTGGTTTTCAGAGATCATTGTTCTATCATTTGTCTTAGACAGAGTTGGCTTAATTTGTTTGGTTCAAAGATTATAAATAATTGTAGTGATTTTAATTTTATTCAGGTCATCATCTAATATCTTATCGTTTTATAGGCTTTAGTAGACCTTTCTCAGAATTATTCAAATAACTCAATCGATATAAGTGTTACAATCTCATTCTCATCAGAAGATCATTATTACTTCCTATATTCAGTAGATTTCTTTCAAAATGAATCATATAACTATATATACGAGGCAAGGTCGTGGATGCGCACTGCTGAGGAGTCCCACAATAGGACGAAACAGCCATCCAGTGCTTCCAGGTTTTACTTGGTGGTCCAGCTTCAATTGACTAAAGCTTTCAACTATGAAGAGAAGTATTCACTGATTATGTTGATCAGTTGGATTGTATTAGTATTAAAGACTACATACTATGATCAATGTATGTAAATTTCTGAGATTTGTTACAGTTTGGTCGTGAATCAAATCACTTTGAGCTGTCATCTTTAACCGTAACACTGGGTGAGATAGAATGACATCTCACGACGAAAACCAGCTTCTTCAGGGTTCTATAAGAGTTTATCTAATTAGTACCAAGTAAAATGAACCCTAGACCTAGAAACTTCAAAATACTTTTCCTTTCACTCAATATATAAACTAACCTCGAGTAGTATACTATCAATCGATGACTGTTTCTTCGGAAACCACGGATATGGTTGTAGATAGTGTTCTATAAATCCTATAGGTTATATTAGGTCGATGAATTTTGTTCGTTCCATTAGGCTCAAGTGTCACTCATATAACAGATTGTCAATCAGTCATACTATAAAATAAGCCCCTGCATTGTAGATTTTATTCATAATACTAAAGTATTACCGTATTAAACTGTCAGTAAAGATTGAATATTCTATGAATTATTTATCACCAAAACCCAGATAATTATTGTTTTTGGTCACTTCTACGTTATGATATTATTATATTTAGTGAAAACCCTGTCTTTAGTCAATAAGCTTGAAAGAAAACCTATGCTAATACTGTCATTTCTTCATATCATCAAACTGACAAGTTGAAACAAACTCGATTAAATATTTATCTTATACGTGTAGTCGTTTGCTAAACAATGCAGAATTCTAAATTTTCTCTTTGATGACAAATACGATGTGTGATTTTGAGAAAACTTAGTTCTTTGAGGCATTTGGATTCACATCATTCACTGTTATAAACAATCATGTAACTAACTAGGTGGTAATTTCTAATCAAAATAAACCTAGGGTACAGTTGTATGTACAAATTAATTACAATTCTATAGTCATTCCAAATGTTTGGATCTTAACGTTTTCAACCTGCGGAAGCATAGCGATCAGGAATCTATTTAACACGATAAATTGACTCAACTTATGTGCTCAAGGAAGATCTAAACACACTAAACACTACACGAGATGAATTTTAATGTTTTTTTCCTGGTTAGTTCAAATATTTTATTGAACTCCTTAACTGATGTATTGCAAAAAAAGAAGAGCTCGAAAGATCAAATAAGTTACATAAGAACTAGGAAAAATAGCTGAACCGTTCAAAAATTAATGTTTATAAGCCTAAGTTTGTCTCCCTGATTTTAGGCTATCACAGAAATATACAGAATTTTACCAACTGGGCTATTTTTCGAGACAGATTATTTTCATAAACAGGATATCACTCAATTCAGATTATTAAAGACGTTTACAAGTATTGTCATTTTCGATGAAAAATATCAGTAAAGTACCACGAAATTAAATGGTTCGACCATTTTTAAATGTTGGAAATGTTTATTTTCGATATATACTGATGTTTTGGATAGATTATTTTAATTCATACAATTTCACAGGGTAAGAAATGAAATTTTTTTTATCTTACTGTCTTCTGTTACAATCGATTCAGTATGTGCGCTTCCATACGATCCAATATACTCGATAGCTTCATCTACGCTTTCTACTAATTCTACAGTACATTCTAGATCACCATATTCGTAAGATAGACTCTTTGCTGGTTTCATTTCATCTGTTAAATTTTGACCTAAACGTATCATACCTGGTCCAGCATGCAGTTTCACCTGAGAAAAAGAAGAAATTAAGTAATAAGCATACTGAAAAATATGACAGTTTAAGCTATCAAACACTAAGCTGATAATTGGTCAACATGTCACAAGATTTATTCAATAAAATGTATTGACGCTATCATCACACGGAATGTTGATGAGCCTCAGTATGTGATGAAAAAGCTAACTTGTACTCCCTGATTCTCAGTGATTATCTAGTTGCTCCTTGTGTATGATCAAGATCAACATAATACTTTAGAATGTTTATTGATTTAGCTTTGGACTGTCATTAGTTAGTCACAGATTTTACCTTATTCGATACTTACTTTATGATCTCGTAAATGATTACATAACCTCTCCAGTAAGCCTGATTCAGCATGTGATTTATGCACGAGTAAAGTTTCCATTGCATTGCAAGCTGATGGATAATCACACTTTGAGTCAATAACTGAAAAAACATAAGAGAGAACACAATTGAAGTTACAGTGAATATTCATATTGTTCATACCTGCTTTAAATTTTATGCTTTTAAAACAAGGTCCTGCGTTCGAATCCCGTGTACGGAATCTTAGATGCGCACTTCTCAGGAGTTCCATATTAGGACGAGACGGTTGTCTAGTGCTTCCAGGTTATCAATGACGGTCTAACATTGATTTATTCATGATGTCAATCAAAAAGTCAACAATCTCCACAACCTCATATTGATCGTAAAGCCTAGTTGATTATTGATGAATTTAATTGTTGAATGACACGTGTTGCTGGTTAAAATAATAAAATTTACCAGCGCATATGTATCTGGTGCCCTTTTGTACCAATATATATGTGTTTAAATAAATAAATAAATAAATAAATAAATAAAAAGCTTGATCACTGTAATTTATACAACTGATAATTACTCACTTAATTTCTGACTGGGCATATCAATCTTTTACTCAGATAGATTAAGTTGAGTTAATAAAGTAGTTTGAATCAGTTAAACAATGTCATTAGACCAAAGTTAAACATGTTGAAATAAATCATATTTTGTTGGTTTGGAGACAAAACTTCACCATACCGTTGAGCCAATGGTAAGCATGTAAAGTGACTCAATGTGATGGCGAATGTATCAAATAGGGTTATATTTTAATTTTTAGAGTAAGTTTTGACAGTTATTGTTAGAGTTTTCATCAAGAACTGATACCTCTTGAAATGCCAAGATCCTAAACTACAGATTTTTGTTCGAAGTCTTAGCAAAATAAGTTATACATTCATATTATTTCCTGATTGGTCAAACAGGTTAGGATCTCAAGGTCTTTCAGTGATATAGTACATGTTTATCATTTTAGTTTAACATTTTCGAACTAAATAAAATCATAACCTCTAGTTTCAGCTTGATAGTTTATAAAGCTATATTTCCACTACTGATAGATAGTAAAAACTCAGTCGTCTGAGTACATATTACACTAATATAACGGTCGATCCTAGACTACTTTCTAAAGAATTTACAGCTAGAACTTCAAGAGGAGTAAGTTTGCAAACATTTAACACTGGTTTTAGGGTAAATTTGGAAATGAGGAAGCAGTTAAAAAAATCAAGATAAAGAGCAAATAAAGGTCTGGAAAAATTTGTCATTAACTTGTAACTAGTTAAAAGTTAATGATACATTATTCTGCTGAAGTACTTTTTAAAGTAAATAACTTTTTTATTTTAGTCTATGTTCCGTATTCAGTACACAGTCCAGATCATGTAACAAAGAAATCCTAAATTAAAATCATACTTTAGATAGTCCAAAACCTTGTCATTTACCACTTATTGAACTGGAATTACATTTAGAGGTGAGATTCCGTGAAAACTTCCAGCACTCGACAACGTAAATGATGAAGCTTCAGTATCTCATAAATTCGTTTATTTTTAAGCTAATTTAACAATATTTAATCAAAGGAAACGTCGAATCTACACATTGTGGGGTAAAATAGTTTCGCACTCAACCCTTCACATGATAATCCCCTTACAAAAAAACCTGGCTCAACTCTGAAAATTTAAATCATTGAATTTTCATTAAATGTTTTAATAAGTTGTACTAAGTCCGCTTGATGTCTTGAGTTTAATTGTTTGGGTGATCATACTGACACGTTCTGACACATCGTTTCAAACTTGCATAACACAGATGTCAATTACTGCAACGTTCTCCAGATTGTATCAGTAAAATTGAACCTTGAAAGAACATATTTAGTCAGGCTTATGGATAAAACCAAAAGTTAATGATAACTTTGTACAACTTAACAGCGAATAAAAAAAACAGGATTTCGTAAAAAGTGATAACATGACTTAGGTACTGGAAGATGAGCTTGTAGTAAGCCCATTGAACTATTTTATTATTTGTCTACAAGCTGTAATTTGAACATTTAACTCACTCTGTAAAATTATGCATAAAATTATGCCCATATCTTGATATCTGAGTATATCATCAGCTATAGACTTAATGGAAAAAGTATTATTTGATGTTCTACACTAAAAAAACATACATATTGTTAAACCTTCTACTTTCTTAAGGCTAATACGGGATACTTTAACAACCGTAAATCAAAATGTAACATCAAACAGGAGAAATATTTACTAAAGTAAGCGTCCAAATGTTCAGAAAAACAGGTGGATATATAACTTTTTGGTATAGGCTACATCACCAGCCAATCCCCAAGCAGGAAATTTATATAGTTGTTCAAGCACATCATTTTACATTGATATTTTAAAACATTCTATCGTCCTGAGATCGAATGGATGCCTCGTCTTGCTTCCTGGTAACCACCCCTATACATATGTATACGAAAATTTTCTGTTCTTGAAATGTTGAAGTAATTTACAATTGTTAGTTAAATACGCAAAACAGAATCAATCATCTACAGTGTTACTCAGCCATTTAAATTTTCACATATTTATATTATTGAACTATTGTATTAGTGTTAACACTTTCCAGTAATTTCAACATTATATGATTTACTTTTATTCTTTTAACAAGAACAAAAGGTTTACTTACCTATTTTTAAAGCTTTTTCAGGATCAGCTGCTGAATCAACATAAACGTGACAGACACCAGATCCATGCCCCATGACAGGAACACCAGTACCGGCTTTGTTTACTGCATTACGAATACTTTCAATCATTTTTGAACTACCTCTTGGAATGACTAAATCAACAAAAGATTGTTTATCTATACCCTGTAAAACATAATCCACATCTTTACGTCCTTCAAGTAGACCAACAGCTCCAGATGGCAAATCGACCATTTCCAAAGCTTCACCAACAAGTCTATGAAGTACTCGAACTGTATGTAAGGCTTCAGATCCGGGTTTGGCTAAGAGACCATTGGCTGTAGCGATTGAAAGTGCAGCAACCTTAATGAAAGTTATTTAGTTGACTTGTAATAATACGAAGCAGTTTCACATAGAAGTTTTACTATAATTCGGATAAGTGTTAATAGTGGAAGAAATGAAGAGTATTTGTCCTGTTAGGAGCTTGTCAATTGCAATTACTTGCTTACCAGTGTTGATGTTCATACTGGAACTAACTTAGTATTGCTTTATTGTTGCACATTAATCAATAAAGTCTGACCTGAATTCAGTAGTGAATATCAATAATGGGATAATACAAACCTTTATAAATAAGTTTGAGTTACAGTTTTAATTTATAAGTAACCACTCAAACTAACTTAATAAAACTATTCTCGTATCATTTCTATCCTACAGTTTGTCATCACTTGTGGCCTGAAAACTGAGAAGTTTACTGATGAACGAAACCTGGATTAAGAGAATTCCTAGAATCTGCTTTAAATCACACAACATGAAAAAATACTTTGTACCAATCAATCGAGAAACTTGGTTTGAGAAACGCATTGCAACTTGATCAGTAGAACTTATTCAACTTTAAAGTCTTGATAATATAGCTAAATCAATGCTCAGCGTAATAAATTTTACTAGTAAACCAACTAAATTATCTTAACGGTATTATTAGTAAGTAATTCTATAAGTATTTTTGTTGTAAAAAATTGAATCAGAAGGAGTTTTGTGGGGATTTCAGTATCGTTATAATTGAAATCGTGAGTCAATTGAAGCTAGACCACCATCGAAAACCTGAAAGCACTGGACGGCTGCTTCGTCCTATTATGGGGCTCCTCAGCAGTGTGCATCCACGATCCCGCCTCGCGAGATTCCGACCCAGGACCTACCAGTCTCGCATCAGAGCACTTAACCGATAGACCACTGAGCCGCCATCCAACTGTGTTAATGTCTAACTTCAGACTTCGTGGATGCGCACTGCTGAGGAGTCTTATAATAGGACGAAACGGCCGTCCAGTGCTTCCAGGTCTCTGTGGTGGTCTAGCTTCAATTGACTCATGATTTCAACTATGGTAATAAAATGAATATTAGGAAAACAGAAACTTTTAGAACTACAGAGAATTATTATTTAGGTTTTAATAGTTTAACTATTGAATAACCGGTTAATTGTATTTCTATGTTCCCTAAAATGTAAGCTTTCATTAGACCCATTATTTATTAATAAAGGTTTTACTATTACGAAAATATTGCGAATTAATTATACACATTTTGTTTCATTTCATATCACATAGGGCTTAATTGCGTACAAAATATAATCCCTTAATTAGGTTGCTTCGTAGTCTAAACATTCATGTATATAATCTATGAATGTTTGAAATATACGGTAGATAAAAGCTAGCTTGCTGTTAAATTCTGTCAACGGCAATAGAACACATGCGTTTTGAACCAATAGCAGTTAAAATTAATTAAGCCATTGATCATGGTCGGTTGAAGTTTATCATTAGATGAAAAGAAAGAACATAAGTCTACAGACATGTACATTAGTTTGAGATAGAGAATTAAAAACCTTCTGGTGCATCTCTCTAGTGATTTCAATTATAACTTAGTCATAACAATATTTACATCAATGAGAAGATCCGAACAAACAATACTAAGTAAATTTCAACCCCATCCCATTGCCCAAGCAAGTGGATATGAGGACTCAGTGGCCGAGTGAATAACGCGATGGCGTTTAAAGCGAAAGGTACTGGGTTCGAGTCTCAGAGTGAACATCAACTCTGAGATGCAGGTACATCCAGCTGACGAGTCCCAAATAGGACGAAACGTGCGTTCTGGATTCCACTGCTAGCCACTATCCATCTCTGCTTACCATGCTTGTGAATTTAGGCTATATCGAGGCGATACACACAGTATGCACATATGCCAATTAGAGACTGACCAGTTGCAGTCCTAAAAACATCAATGGGAAGATCCAAACAAGTAATACTAAGTAAATTTCAATATTTTGTTTCGATCAAATGACACTAGATCATAATCAAACATTTAACATAATATGCATGTTAATTGATAATAATGTTACTATTACACGCTTAAATTGAATGATAATCATGTAATCATAACGCGCATAGTTTCTTAAGCTGATCAAAATACTTAGTTATCAGTGTCATTTGGTGTCAAATGGTTGACTTGACATTTTAAAAAATACATATATCAATGATCAGTCTGAAAGTTTCTGAAAAAAGACCCTACTTATATGACATGAATTCAGTTCAGTAATTTTGAAATGTATATCAATATTAGATGAGATAAATATACTGAATAAAGGCAATCTTTTAGGTTTCATTTATTCTGGTCTATTAACCAGCTAAATTGTGTACATCATTATTGGATCAAATTTAATCAGTTATTCATCTCTCTATGTTTTTATTTTGCATAAATGCGAATGTATCGGATAATTCAGAGAAAATTCAAACTAAGCTGGTATTCAAGTTTTCGAGTCAAAACGACTGTAATGTGAGTAGAATCGATTGCAGGTTGTTACTTTGAATCTTGAATTACTCAACAAAGTCTACACAACACATTTATTATAATTTTCTTTAAAATTTCCACTCTTAATATATTAAACCAATACTACTATCAATATATTTATGAGATTGTCATCAAATGAAATAACCTTTATTTATTCCAGGCCTATGTTTAAAAAATTGTTTAAAGGTGAATGATTCTATTAAGGTAACTATTTGCAAGTTATCAGAATGAGGATTTGTGGAGATTGTAGTAATTTTGATAGTTGAATTCATGAGTCGATGTAAGATAGATCACTATTGAAAACTTGGAAGCATTGGACGACCGTTTCGTCCCAGTACGGCACTCCTCAACAGTGCGTATACACGACCCCGCACACAGAACTCAAACCCAAAACATTCGACCTCATGTGCGAACGCTTAACCTACAGACCATTGAGCTGGCATCCAACAGTATTAATGCCTAACTTCAGTCGATCTTTGATCTTGCTCAACCTTTTATCTATTGTTTGAGGTGAATAACTGTCTCCACCCGACACGGATAGAACTCCATTGGTCACGGCTTTTCACTACAACTCCACGATTGATTGGAGTCAGACATTAACACTGTTGGATACCAGCTCAGCGGTCCAGAGACTATGCGTTCTCATGTGAGACCAAAGGTTCTGGTTTTGAGTCTTTTGTGCGAGATCGTTGATGCGTACTGTTGAGAAGTCACATATTGGGACGGAATGGCCGTCCAATGCTTCCAAGTTTCAACTATTTGTAAGTTGATGGAAGATGCTTTAGAAATATCCTGACCTCATGCGCTAATGCCCACTCTATTATTATTATCATTGTTATTCAGAGAAAAAAAATGAAAAAAATTTTGGAATATAAGTTCTTTCCAGTTAAGTATATTTTTTTAAAGTTTATACTATAGAATTAAACATTTTTCAATTACTGTTCCGTGGTCATTATCTTCTCTTTCTTCTCTCTAATTATAGATCATCCTCCAACAACAACAAAACCCTGATTTTTAACTCTTGCTTCATATTATTTTATTCATTGTGACAAATGTCCTTTCAAAAACAAAATTTATGGACAACGCTATTTTAAATAATTTTACTTTTATATCTCTGTCCATTACATGTTGCATACTTTTCGGTATCAATCTGGTTTTGCTTTCAAATTGAAATGGATTCCGAAATTATTTTTGAAATACATTCCATTTGATTAAAAAACAAATGGAGCAACAATCAGTGGATAGTAATTGATTACAATAAATACGTTTGACGGGGTATAAGACAACCAGACTGAATGCATGAAAATATTTGAGGTTTTTCATCAGTACTATCGTAAGTAATATATGAGAACTTTCGTCTTAATTTGAACGAATAGTTTCACACTATTTGAGTACCGAGTTTATGTGAGACGTTAAGGAGGAAGAACGTATTTGTAAAATCTCAGAGAACGAATTTGATTGGATGTCCTGTTTAGTATACAGTTAACCACAGAACCGTGTACTTATTTACATTCTATAATTTTGATGTATGATCATATTTTCTTGAAAAAACTTTGCACCAGATTGCCAGACGAAACGTTCGGTTTACTTTAAATTCATTCGCAAATACGTTATTCCTCCTTAATATCTTTAGTAATGTTATTCAAATGAACAAAAGACTTACCTGTGGTAAGCAATCTGGTCTCGATTCAAATATTACCATTAATACACCAATAGGTGCAGTAATTTTCTTTAAAATTAAATTGTCTGCTAATTTGGTACGAGATAATACACAATTAACATGACCATGGCGGTTACGCGATTCATTGGCAATTTGTCTAAGTCCTTCACTTAATGTTTTTATCTTTGAATGACTTAATTGAAGTCTAGCCAATAGAATAGATGAAATACCTTTGTTAAAGATAAATTATAAAATGTATTTTATTTTGGTTACATAAGTTATATAATAAAAGTTTTAGTACTTATTAACCTCAAAAGAAGTTTCGTTTATAAAATGTCTAAAGATGAAATATAATTACTGATATATGCCAGTAACTTCAGCACTTAGTTTCAAAGCTTAGTGTATTAGGCCCCTTTAAAATCTAATGTTAAATACACTTTTCATCGTAAGATTATAACATTTTGCTTCTTACTTAGAATTTTCTACCATCGATCAGTGTCAGGTAACCAACTGTTAAGTGGTGAGTGGAGTTGGTCGATTGGAAACCCTGATTCATCTAGGTTTCGTGCCATTTGGCACTTGTCAGTAAGGTTTGAGGGAAATAATATTTCCAGAAGAATTATACCGCGCACCACTCCGCTTTACAGTCACAGACATTACCACCGAGCTATTCGAAGTGCGAATGACTAATTGTAAGACAGAGATATATTTACAAGTGGTTAATCATTCAATAGTGACCAATGTACAGGAGTAAGTAAGTAAGTGAGTAAGCGACCAATTTCATGTATGCCATTCTCTTATTAGTATTGATTGATAGAATTTGATTATCACCAAGATGAAATTGACCTACATGGTATCGGTCACTACACAATAATTAATCAATTTCAAATACATTTGTCAATTGATACATAAATGATATGCAAGATGGTTGAGTAAAATCTCTTTCCACCTTGTTTGCAACCATTAACAAGGGATATATTCAATTCTAAGGGCAGGAATATACTTTAAAGGGTTAACCAATGTAATGGTCAGCGTGGTTGACACTAATCTATTCTTATTGACATCGGGATCCTGTAGAACTTAGATGATTGCAATAATTAATCACTTGTTCTTTCGGATTAGACAATAAACAACCTCTACTGAGAGATCAATAAATATATGACAACTAAATTTGTTTTTAATTTTTGCTAGCTTTATGAAACTCCGTCGAACAATAGTATATCATCTATTGTAAAAAGATTTATGGAAGGCGTTCTCCCTATGAAATGATATACTGGACTAAATATCAGATAAATTTCTATTGTTTTTTAGTGGTTTATTAGACCTTCAAATTATATCACTTGCTTGTATACGCAAAGTGTTAGTTGATTCATTGAGAATGATCTCGATGATCTCATAGGACGATTGGCAATCAATTGAATTGCACATATTGGTAAGGTTATGATAAACAAAATAGATTTAGAAAGTTATTGATAAATAATGACTGTTTACATATTGTATAGTGAGATGATTTTGTCCAATACAATTTAACTATTCCCATATCACTTTTCAGAACTGTTTTCTGTCTGATTGATCAGACATTAGGTGAAACACTTAATGCAACTGAAGACTATGATGGACTATAAGACACAGTTTACTGTGAATATAACTTTTTATTTTGAGTGAAATAACCACCGGTATTAATCGATGTGAAGTCAGTGGTGATTATATTATCCAGAGTGGTAAACAAAAACTCATATACAAACAGTACTATGAAACAAATCTACGTAAACTACATGTGTATTCTATCATTTAATCACATTCTGAAGTGTCTGAAAACATACGTTTACATCCCGAACTGCTTAGTATTGGTCATTTGAGGCCTGAAATAAAGAGTCTAGGTTAGTGTGAGCTTTTACTCATAAACCTAGTTGACCGTGATACGCATACGTGCTACAACTTGAACAAGTATGTGTTCATACTAGATCCTATGTTGTCTTTGGATGAATATAAAAACGTGTGTGGTTACTGATCTACAATGTTTTAAAATATCTCCTTCAGATTCGTTTACTCAACTGAAGTCAACATTTTGCGTTTTGTCATGGAAAAACCTTTTAGTTCCTTAGGAATTAGAATATATATATATATATATATATATATATATATATATATATATATATATAATCACAACTGGAGTGCTCAATTTGAATCATGAATTACGTATTATTAAAGATTTTATATAGTTGAGCTCATGAGTCAATTGAAGATACACCACCACGGAAAACCTGAAAGCACTGGACGGCCGTTTCGTCCTATTGTGGGACTCCTCAGCAGTGAGCATCCATGATCTCTCATCTCGGGATTCAAACCCAGAACCTACCAGTCTCGCATCAGAGCACTTAACCGATAGACCACTGAGCCGTCATCCAACGGTGTTAATGTCTAACCTCAACCAATCAACGAAATTTATATATATATATCTATAATCACAAGTTTATATTTTCAATGATCTATTCAACATTCAATTAAACAAATAAACATACCCGCTGTTTCAGCTTGTTTTATATCAATTTCATTTTCATAAATAATTTCATCTTCATGTTTTAAAAGTTTATCAGCTAAATTATCAATTGCAGTCGCTCTAGCCTCAGGTGTAGATGAGTTCAATAGTATACTGGCTTCACGAGCTTATTATAATAATAATAAGAAATATATATGAAATATATCATGTGAGTTGAATATTTTAATATTTAGTTTAAACAATCTAATAACATATTCATTCTATCTTAAGTTTTGATGAATGAATAGATATTCATAATCAGTTGTTGTCAGTGTATGTTGATTTCTTGTAGTTCTGAAGTTGAATTTATTTGCCTAAAATAAACATCTCCAAATGTTTTTAGGTAAAAATGGATAGCGACTAGCAGTGGAATCCAGGACACGCGTCTAGTCCTCTTTGGGACTCGTCAGCTAGATGTACCTGCATCTCAGAGTTGATGTTGACCCTGGGACTCGAACCCAGTACAGTTCGCTTCAAATTAGAGACTGACCAGTTGCAGTTCTAAAAACTTCTTATTAGGTTGTTTTCATGATTTTCGATAAATGTCGTTTCAATGTCCGTATTTTGGCTTCAAACCCCATCGCGTTACCTACTTAGCTACTGAGTCCTGATATACACCTGCTTGTGCAATGGGTTGAAGTTTAAATTCACACGGTGTTGTTTACTTGTGTCTTTCAATTGTTATTTAGGACTGCAATTGATCAATCTCTTATTAGCATATGTGCATACTGGGCGGACTGCCTCGACATTGCCTGAAGTCACAAGCTTTATAAGCAAAGGTGGATAGTAAGATGGTGGTCGGAGATGGTCAACAGGAAACCCTGGACCCGGGTTTCGTGCTACTTGGCACCCGTCAGCAAGGTGTACCTGTAATCCTGAGGGAACTGATGCTCCCTGACGGATTCGATCCCGCGTCACTCAGCTTCACAGTCAGAGACGTTACCACTGAGCTATTCGGGTCGCGACCAACCTCCTGTAGGACTGAGATGTAATGACAATTGATTGATCACTGGGTGGTGATCAATCTCATGCATGTCATGTCCTTCTTAGTGCTTATCGAATGCTATCGATCGAGTTGCAATGTCTCTGACTGTGAAGCTGAGTGACGCGGGATCAAATCCGTCAGGGAGCATTAGTTCCCTCAGGATTACAGGTACACTTTGCTGACGAGTGCCAAGTAGCACGAAACCCGGGTACAGGGTTTCCTGTTGACCACCTACAACCACCATCTTACTTCAGTATATATAGTGCAAGCAGTGTCGAGCCACCTAGACTGGTGGTCACATTGCAACTCGATCGATAGCATTCGATCAGCACTAAGAAGGACCTGACACGCATGAGATTGATCACTGGGTGGTGATCAATCAATTGTCAAAGATGGATAGTGGCTAGCAGTGGAGACTGATCAATTGCAGTCCTAAATAACAATTGGAAGATACAAGTAAACAACACCATGTGAATTTCCAAATATTGATTGAATTTTTATGAGTGAATGATCTTAGGTTTATGAACCAACTGCTGTAATAATAATATGATAAGTGATTTATCAAACTTGACCTCATAATTCATTTTAAGTTACTCAAGTTCACGGAGTATTTCATGAATCCTGACACAATCATGACAAATATATACTTTAATAAGTCCTCGAGGTAATTGCAATCATTGGTTGAAGATGTTGAGTGAATTAAGTCGACCGGTGACCCAGATATATTTACTTTTCATCTTTCTCTGCATCTTTAGTCTTGTTACTTTTCCATAAAAAAAATCCTTTTTATCTCTTCTTTTCGAAACCTATTCTCAATATTTACTTTTTCTCATTATCATTCCTACTACTGTAATGTTGACTCCTTTGTCATTCGACAAATTAATTTCATCTCACTGTGTTGATTCAGAATAAAAACTACAGCTAACATACATTTGCATCAGTTTCTATGTTAATTGTAACTAACTGACTATTTCATGTATACATATTTTCTCCATAGTCCTATATTTGTTATATGATAGAAAGTATTGAACTGATATAGATGGTAAGAATGAAGCCTGATAAATGGGTTTTATTTTCATTAGATAATAGTAAGTGATGTAGAATATTTGAATCCTTAGTGGTCAAATAGACTTTCTTAGTGTTTTAATTAATATTCATAGTAAAAATGTCATGTTACAACGCAAAATGAATCTCTTTACTAACTGACTTTCCTGTCAGTATTTCTGATTCATTGGCTATTTACATTAATATAATCAGTTTATTGTACACATACTGAAGCATGACATTTAATGCTTGTTATAACACATTGCTCATTAAACAATATGCAGTTGAGTGCTAGGAAACAAACTATGATTTTACTAATGAAATAGTTTTGTACAGATATTCGTTTGCTTAATAATCGACTTTCGTCACTAATTATGGGTGATTGGAAATGCTGAAATGATATTTTATCCTAGTTTTAAACTCTTCAGAAATGTATGATCTTTCATAGGAAACTGAATCACTGATTATTAATTAAATGCTTCACATCCTCAAACTCCTCTAGTCTACGTTGTTGTGGGTTTATAATCTAACGGTTTTATTAGTTGGTAAATGTAGAGTAAATTTATTTCTGGATCGTCAAAACAATAAGTTTTTAATCCGTGTCACGTAGAGACAGGTATCTATCTCAGATTATAGATGAATGGTTGAGCAAGATCATAGATCGATTGAAATTAGACATTATTACTGTTGGATGCCATCTCAGTGGTCTATAGGTTAGGCTTTCGCAAGTGGGACCGAGGGTTCTGGGCTCGTGTCCTGTGTGCGGGGTCGTGTATGTGCACTGTTGAGGAGTCCGATACTAAGACGGAACAGCCATTCAATGCTTCTAAGTTTTCAATATTGATCTAGCTTAAATGGACTCATGAATTCAACTATTAAAATAAGAAAGTATTTAATGGATTTAGTTTTGAACGATGATTCACTTCATTTGTGGATTACACAGTTTTACATCAAGGATTGACCTCTGAATAATTAATAAATTCAACAGTTTTCACAGTTTCCCTACACTAAAAATAAATGTTTGTAACTATAATAGTTAGAAAATTTAAAAATTATGGAACGTAAGCTAAGAGACTGAAACATAACTAAGCCATAGTCATAAATTACATTGAATAATATACTGTGAGTATTTTTTCATCCACTCTAGCAACTGAATTTGATAGTATTTAATTTATATTCTCATGTTACCTTTTGTGGCAATTTGTTTAATTGTCTCTTCACGAGTATCAAGCTGATTTTCAGCATCATTTTTCTCTTCCAGTGTGAAAAATGTGCCAACATCCATGCCATTCATTACATCAGTAATACAATTAAATCTGCTACCTCTAATTATGACAACTGAAGTTCCCTTCATTGATGAATAAATTAAGATATGAAATATATTAAAAAAATTTTTATTGATACTCTAACTCCAAGATAAATGCAAGTAATCATGATATAAACGTACAATAATCAGGTTTTCTAATTCTGAGCATTAATCGAATTTTGTAGGTTAAATAGTAAATACCCACGCTTAATAGGAAGTTAATTGATGATAGAATGGTTCAGTGATAATGATTCTAAACATGACAATTGGTTATGCAGCTTTCAATCACTCAGGAAGTATCATTTTTTTAACATGATTATAGATAATCATTGCATCCAAACATATTATCTCTAAACGTCTAACACGATACTGTCACTCTCTATTTTGCGCGCTCAAATGAATGTCTTGAAGAGGAAATGACTTTAATCTTCAAGTGCCTACGTGAAAACGCATATCCGGAGAAATTCATCCATACATATGCAAACACCAGCCGTCAAGTAAAGTATGATCGAGTGGAATAGAAAACATGCTTCATACACTTACGTTTCAAGGAGATGAAATCGCTGGAATAATTAATCACAGACTTAATTCTGCGTTGAAAGAGACTTACCCAGCAGCTAATTTGACAACGGTGTGGGAAACTAACTGCTCACTCGAACAAGCTAAAATCGACAAGTCCTCTTTTCTCAGTAGCTCCAACTGCATTTACCAATTTACATGTACGTGCCAAAGCACATACATTGGAAGAACCGAGATAAGAGTACATGTTCGCATTTCTGAACATGTTCCTAAGAAACTGAGGCTGCGAGGGACCAGGGCTCTCAACAGTGCAATAGCTCGGCATTTACTCGACACCGGGGCACACCATTGACATTTCTCATGCTTTCAAAATCACTAGCAAACAAAGAAGTACAACTGCTCTCAGGTTTGCTGAAGCGATCGCGATAAAAAAACTCAAACCGGATCTATGTACTCAAAAAGAAACAGTGATAAACTTATTACTACCCTGGTAATCCATTTTTTTATTTTTTTGATATTAGTTTTATTTTGGTTAATATTTAGTTTTTATTATATTCCTCTTCCCTTACCCAATTCTTAAATCGCACTTTCTCTCACACATTTCCTCTCACTTGTCTCTCTTAAATTATATGAACTCTCCAAATTCTATTCAATTATTACGTAACCCATCCTATTTGTTTTTAATTCCATGACCCCTTCATTACCTCTAAAAATATCACACATTGGATCTTATCTGTTTTTGAACTCCACTCAACTATTACGCCACCCACCGTTTATGCTTCCTTCCTACCTAATAACCTCTGACCTTGATGTTGGTTTGTTCTCTGAGGTGGATGGTTTGGTCGTGGAGCTTTCATCGTCCTTCTGAACGACATCATCAGCACAAACTTCGGGTAGAAGTGAAGTGTTTGAATTTCTCCACATATGATTCACAGCTTGTCCTCTGCACCTCAATGTTGATTGGTTCTTATTGACCTTAAATCTGTCATTGTTTATTTCTTTGTTTTGGTTGTATCTCCTATTGGTTTGATTTTTGTTCCTATGTTCCTGCATAATTTTTTTGATTGGTTGGTAGATTGGATTAATATCGATATGTTTGTTTATTGCTGATTGACCTGAGTGTCAAGCTTCTAAAAATTCTCTGGTATTTTTGGAATTGCTTCTGTCCAAAATCTGCACATTTTCCCAGTCGAATGTATGTCCGTAGTTGTCCACGTGTATTGATATGAGTGAAGAAGTGTCGTGGCGTTTGACTGCTAATTGGTGTTCATGTAGGCGAAGATGCAGTCCCTCCACTCAATCTTATGCAAACCAAAAGATGAAATGGTAAAAGAGGACAAAGCAAACATCATCTACAAGATAAATTGTACCAACTGCAACAAACACTATATTGGACAAAGCGGACGCCCCTTGCATCTTATTCTTATTATTCTGCATCAATATTTGTTCTTTATTTAAATTTATAAAGGAAACTAACTGCATATACTAGAAATAATTGTCTCACCAACAAAGATATGGTCTTTTCAAGTTAATTATTTCAAGCAGGAGATAGTGATAAATTCATTACTAAATGAGGGAAATTGTTATGTGATATTTTCTCTTGATCGACTTAATTACCCACATGTAGTAGTTACAAACTATGTATACCTATTATCGACCAGTAATATAAGCACTTATGTTTGTAATTGTCATAATTTGCAAACTATTCTTGTTTACAACACATATGACTTCATACTTAGGTGGCGAATGTTATGTTACTGATTTATGTCAATTATTTTTTTAAAGGGACTCATAGAAAAAAATGTATTTAAACTACATATCGAATTACTGTCTTACTTGTCTGACAGTCCAAACTGCCGATGCAATTTTACTTTTCATACCACCAGTACCGACCGAAGATGCTTCACCAAAACTCACTAGTTCACCATTGACTGATGGTGAGTGAGTATCATATTCCGGGCTTTTCGTTACTTCATACTCGGCCACAAATCGAGCACCAGGACTACCAGGTGGTGCAGTGTATACCCCATCTACATCAGATATTAAAAGCAACAGATCTGATTTTAATTCACATGCCAAACGAGCAGCTAAACTGTCATTGTCACGTACTTGAAGGGCTGAGGCTGTATCCTGAAGATAGGAGAAAATGGTCAGAAAAAGTTGTATTACCATACTGTTATTAACCATGATCAATGTTTCAAGTGAACGAAAGCTACCTGAAAATACATTTAACATTAGACAACATTTTGAATTTTCACAACACCATAATCCTATGTCTTTAAAAACATCAGTATTAAAGAAATTAGTTAAGGCAAAAAAAATCAATCTCAATTTACCCAACAGGAAGCACCTATTAAACTGTTGCCGACTGCGGAGCATTGAACAGTTAATGCATTCTGCTTTGGATCATGTACACTGTGCTCAGTCACAGGCTTGAACTATATGCATTCAAATCTGACAGAATACAAATGTCTCACAATCTAGTGTGTTGCAGAAGTTATAAATGATTTAATATATCAACTTCTCTCATTCCAGAATGAGAACGTTCTTTGAATTATTTTATATCGTAACGATAAAGTATCGTTGGTGAATAACTGCCTCATACTCGACACAGCTGATGTCTGATGATTTCGGCTTCCCTTTAGAGATCCTAGAGTTACCTCTAGAACTTTTCACTAATAAGCATATGGTAATTATTAGTGTATGACTTTTATCTTGAACTCGATCCTTGGTGGAGTCAAGTATGCGCAATTACATGGAGTCTCATACTAGCATGAAACAGCCGTTTACCGATTCCTCGTTTCTAATTTTATTGTTAACTGCGAAATATATTTTTACTTTTCAATTTCTTAGTTTTTCAGCATTGGATACACTTACTGTGCATGTTGTACCAGTAGAATTTTCTTTACTCCAAGCGACAGCATCGTTTGTATTAATTATTGGAACAACCCCTCGATTTAATAAATCTTGAAGTGCTGTACGCCAATATGCCCGTCGATGATCATCATCAAAGTCTACAGGTGTCAATAACATCTAGATGACAATATAAAGTGAAATATATGAACTCTTATTGTATTTTATTAAAGTGTAACATAATGTTAACAAACTATACACTAAGCTACTGGGTGACAAAAGTCACCACGCTCCTCCGGTTTTATATTTATATTTATGTGAAGAGGCTTATTTTTTAAATCATATTCAGAACTGAATTAGATCACAATGCGATGCAGGTATATTCAGCTAACGAGTATTAACAATGATGAAAGTTGAATCTTAAGTTCTACTGTTAGTTATTAGTCCAGAATGTAATAAACACGTAACTACTGTCAGTTTTTTAGTTCCTAAATAAAGAGGCCACATGTAAACAGTTATTGATCAAATTCTTTTCTGAGAGTTAATAGGAAAAAATTGGACAAACTCCACTGAATAACACTAAGTCAGACAATAAATAGGAAGAATATATTTGTAAAATCTCAGCGAATGAATTTGAAGTAAATCCAACGTTTCGCCTACCAATCTGGTCTAAGCTTTTTCAAGGAAAAAAATATTGCCAGTCGAAACGTTGGATTTGCTTCAAATTTATTCGCTGAGACTTTACAAATATATTCTTCCTATTTAATGTCTCACATTAACTCGGCGCCTAAATACTGTGGAACTATTCGTTCTAATTTAGACGAAAGTTCTTATAAACACTAAGTCAGATCGTTATTTTTTTTCAATGGCGAGAATTCTCGGTCATATTTACTTCAGTATATAATCCATATTCCAATTCTAAATTAATATAATTTTGAAATATATACAAAATATGAATAAACATACAGCCGCTGTTCGAAGATCACATTGTTCAAATAAATGATCATATAATGTAACCATTTCTGCCATACCAAAAGCTGCTCGAGCACCACGACTACTTTTTTTCTCATCTGTTTCAAGATGATGCCGTCCTAATGCTATTGCTCCACTAGTAACAAGAATACATTGACGACCCTTATAATAGTAAATAGAAAATAAATGGAATGATCATAATGAACGAAATAAATATGGCAAACAATAAATTATATTAGGAAAAAGCTTTGTCAGAAAGAGCTGATCATTAGAATACTAAAACATAACATATTAACATTAAATCTCAATCAATGTAATATTATCTGGTCTAGAATGCCAATTGAATCTTATTGATGCAATTTTCAATATGGTATACAAAGTATGTGACTCAGGTATATTGATGAACTTTATTGAGTATTGAACTACTGAATGAAATTGATTGGGCAAGTGACTAGTGTAAACAGTTTGAGCAACATTTTCTATCAAAGTTAAACAATAGCCGTGATTTTGTCAAACTGTTTATCTTCTTCTCTCTCTCTCTCTCTCTCTATATATATATATATATATATATATATATATATATATCCTGACTTAAGAGAGAGAACTATCCGAATAACATGGTTTCTTAACAAATAACGATTGTTACCCTTAATTAAGACAATACGAATAATAACAATATATTGTGCGCGAGATCGAAGTTTCTGGGTTCAAGTCTTGGATGCACACTGCTGAGGAGTCCTATACTTGGACGAAACGGTTGTCCATAGCTTACAGGTTTTCATTGATGGTCTAATATTGAAATTAATCTAAGCCCAACAATTTCCATAACCCTTAATTGATAATTTTTTTTCATTTAAATCTCTTTCTCCTTCTGAAGGACGATGAAAGCCCCACGACCAAAACATCCAGCTCAGAGAACAAAACACCATCAAAATCATCCACTTGAGCTATAAATCTTTTCCACCATCTCTTTCTCAGGTCTTACTTCAATGCACACATATTTTCATAAAAAGATATCAGTCAAAACGATTTTTGAGTTAATAATAATAATGGTGTAGTTTGCACAACTAATCACTTTTCATCTTTTGTGGTTTTACAGAAAAATAATTGTTACTAGTATGTTGACAGTTATATTAGTAACAATAGTGAATAATAAAATATAGCCCAAGACGTAAGGTTCCACGCTCAAACGCTTAATATCTAGATCACAGGGAAATCATTCAATGGTGCTGATGTTCAACTGTGAGTTAATTGGTTCTTGATTTCGCAGAAGGACATAAGCTTTTCCGGACTTATTATCAGTGATTTGGGATATTGATGGATAGCTATCCAAGACGTTACTGATTATGTCAATTTATAGATTGTATTTTATTGTGTTGTATCGGGAAGTATTGGATGGCTGCTTCATCCTAGCAGAGGACTCTTTGAAAGTGTCAACTTGCCACTATGCCAGTAAAATAAACCAGGAAATTAAGGTCTTGCTGAGACAACTCGACCACAGCGTCGATTGGTAATTATACTGGATATGACCTATAGCAGGGTTGTGTGTTGAACTGCTAAATCCTATAGTAGGAAGACAAAGATCTTTCCTTGCTGCTTGGTTTTCGTAGGTACATGAAATCAATCTATGACAAACAAAAACTACAAATGGAGCAATATTCACCAACAAACCAGCCAATTTGATCACGGTAACCCTTAGTTTTTCAGAAGAACACAATTGATCGTGAATTAAATGTGTTCATAACAAATTTTTAATTTTAAGGTAGTTAACACTGCTGATAGACTTTATCTTTACAACTGTTGAAGGGGAGCCCTGTAGTTCTTGAGTATTAGCCGTTAGTTGCATAGTATACCGATCTACATTGTTGATAAGATCCCTTCTAAGGCAAAGCACCTCAAGATCAGTAAGTTATGATATTTTCGCATCAAATATTCATCTTAATACCGAAACTTTGTGAAGACGAATCGATGAATGTAATACAAGGGTAAAATGTTAAAGAAAACTATTACCTTGAAAATATATTTAACTGTGATTAACTCTTGATTAAAAAGTAATTACTATATATCTGAGAAGTAACCACGAATATTGAACATTTCGATTTTTAAAACTGAATCGTCTCAACAGTAAGTACTTATGACAAAACAGAATCGAACTGAAGACTTTCAAATCAGAGGGTGACCTCAATACCATTTGCAATGCGATGGGACGGAAAAATCTAGTTTACTACATGGCTTCATGTTATATAACCTTCATTTAATGCCCTTCTTGAATTTCCATGTCATTCTAAGTTGAGAAGTTTTATCTTCACGGTGTTTCTTTTAAAACTTCTGGAAATCTATTTCCAGGTCACTAACTAAGGAAACTTCGATTATCAACAACTTGGGTGCATTATGGTAAGATCTTTAATGCTTGAAGGCAGTATTCATCATAAACATTGATAGAAGCAAAAACATTTTATGAAATAAAATGATCTAATGATTGATTTATTGATAATAAGAATTTACAGAAATATCATAATTCCGCCTGTAGCTCTTCTAGAGTTACTGCCGGTCTCAAGCCCGGGTAAAGAATGAGGGTTGGTCATGAGGTTAGCGACCCCATCCCGTAGAAAACTAACTCGCTAATAAAAAGGATAACAGAAATTTCATTCAATTCAAATATACTCTGTTTCACTAATACACATACACACATATAGGTACACACACACACGTATATACATACATGTAGACAACAGTAAGTTTACACAAACGAACCCATTTAAATCTGATTACATATTTGACCTAGTGACATAATTTATTTCAAATGACACTACTAATTAATATGTGATTATTTATTTCAAGTTAATAATGAACAGAATATGAACAATCTATGGATATACATAGTTCATCATAACCAATTATGATGAATTCATCCAATTTGTGGACGAATTCATTATTATGTACATGTTATAAGTTAAATATTTTAATATTAATCATTAATAAGTTGAATGATCTCTTAATAATGTAAGTTTTTAAGACCAAAGGTGACAGGTATTGTGTCCTGGGACCGAAAACAAGTACCAAGTTGTCGAATTCTTTATTGTTGAATAATTTTTCAAGTCATGTTTGAAATAAACTGAGTTATAAGACTTAGTGTCACACTGTTTTCTATTTATTTATATATTTTTCATAGTTGGAAGCGTGAGTCAATTGAAGCTAGACCATCATGGAAAACCTGGAAACATTGGACGGCCGTTTCATCCTATTATGGGACTCCTCAGCAGTGCGCATTCACGAACCCGCTCTTGCGATATTCGAATCAGTTGAAGTTAGACATTAACACCGTTGGATGCCAGCTCAGTGGTATATCGGTTAAGGGCTTCGGCTCGAGACTGGTAGGTCCTGGGTTCGAATCTCTCGTGTGCGGGATCGTGGATGCGCACTGCTGAGGAGTCCCATAATAGGACGAAACGGCCGTCCAGTGTTTCCAGGTTTTCGATGGTGGTCTAGCTTCAATTGACTCACGCTTTCAACTATGAAAAATACTAAATCTCCACAAAACCCCTTCTGATAATTATTTATATATTGTTAGATAATTGAAAGCCAGTTGTACAAAGATTCAACCCAGATGTTTTATTGGTTAGTAGTCGTCATGCAATTGCTCATGAAATTCCAAGAAGATCAAAAGACCTTTAATACGAGTTTAGATCTGGAGTATTCGGCTAGAGAGCAGACGAATAGTATGACACCATGGATTATTGAGCGATTGCTTTTAAGCGTTTTTTAAAACCTATCAACTTATAAATACTATTCATGTTTTCCGGTGATAATATTTTCATTCGATAATATATTATAATTTTATGTTATAAATTTGCCTAAACAGGCAGGAACATTGAAATAATTCCTGTTATCCTGGAGATCTGAGTCAGTTTTCGTTGATTATTTGATAAAACAAGTGTGATCAATATTTTCTTTTATCCTGCCAGTTACTCTACAATAGATTGAATCTGCTTTCCTGACTAAAATCAGGATACAGTACAAAATCTCATGACAATAACTGACATAGCATTGCATCACTCAGGGAATATCAGTTCAAATACGAGTTCTAGATGCCTAATACTAATAAAAGCGAAGTAAATGAAATTTTCTATCCAGGTACTTTATACCAATAGCCTCTAAATACTATATAGATGAATCATTTATTATTGTTTCCAATGGAACTCAATTCATTGATAACCATTTCACAAGCATTGATTTCTTTTTTTTATATTCAATTGTCAAATATTTCTAATATTATTATTAAGAATAGCAATCCACTAATATTTTTATATAGTTGAAATCATGAGTCAATTGAAGCTAGACCACTATGGAAAACCTGGAAGCACTGGAAGGTCATTTCGTCCTAGTATGGGACTCCTCAGTAGTGCGCATCGACGATCCCACACTCGCGAGATTCCAACCAAAGAGCTATCAGTCTCGCGCGCGAGCGCTTACCCACTAGACCACTGAGCCAGCCGGTATGAAACGGTGTTAATGTCTAACTTTAACCAATCCACGAAATTGAGCAATCATTCAACATTGTCTTCAGTGAGTTGATATCTCAGAACAAATCTAGTTGAACTCCACTAGTTACTGTTTCTCACTAGAACTCCAGTAAATGCTTCATGCAGTCAGTCACTAGTGAGCATAAGATCATTATTACCAGGGGATTTTGAGGAGATTTTAGTAATTTTTTTATATAATTGAAATCATCAGTCAATTGAAGCTAGACCATCATGAAAAACCTGGAAGCACTGGATTAATTAGGAAAGAAATATTTCTATTCTTTTTTATTTCTAAACAATTTACCTGAATACAAATGATTCACTAATGAAAAAATTAATTTCTTTTTAAAAAAAAACAATCTTCTGCTATAAGGAAATATAAGTTAAACGGTAGCAATAGTGTGATTGCCAATAGACAAAAAACATTGCAATAGATCAACTCAGTGCTCATACGGTATTTGAATATAATAATAATAATAATCTTCTCAGGGAATATAATTTCAACCAAAGTATCCTATTAAGAGCTTCAATTCTTCTCCACCATCTAAGTGCACATTATTGTTATACATATTAACAAATGACTAAATACTCTATAGTACTATATTATGACATGGTTAGTTACACAATGCTTTTTTTAAGTTAACCATTACTGGTTTCCATGATATTTTCAATAAATATCATTAATTATGTATAATTAAATAGTAGAATAGGATTGACAGAGTGGTGGGAAATGGTTAGTTAAACAAATTTAAGTCTAATCTATGAAGTTGCTAGGTTTTTAATATGTGAAAATTGGATTTTAAGTTGTACTATGCATAGAAAAGAAAGAATTACTTCATCAGTATCCAATATATATATGTATATATCAGACGAAGCCAAGTTTGGAAGAGAGTTTTTTTGTTTCATATGGGGAATACTAAACAAAAATCTCTGATAATCAATAAATGGACAAGTTTTTAATTAGTTATTTTGCATTTTAAGTGTGTTTTCTCAAGAAGACAGCATTCATGTTCATTAACATGTAACTTTTCTGTAATCATTACGTAATCATTAAAAAAAGGGAAACTAACCAAATTTATTTATATACTGATTAGATTTTGTGTAGTAATTAGTAGTATAATCGATTATGCACATCTTTCTTATTTCGATTTATCATTAATAAACTGATTTCAATTAAAGATCATGACCATTTTCAGATATGATCCTTGTATCGTTATCTTCAATTGTTAAAGCCTTATCTACTAGGGTACCGTCATTTTATAACCACAAGTATTTAATTGCATTACTTGTAAAAGATAAGTTTCAGTTCGTATGTGAATTGCCTCAACAAATATCTTTCTATTCACTGAATGTATAAAGCGATACTAATTATCGTTAAAGTCGGTAGTGAATTTTAGAATTAACATTTCATTTAGTTTAAGATGGGTTTGAATCCACAAGTTTACTTGCCCAATTGGTTGATTTACTGCTAATTATAAACAATAAAAAAGTACAAACCCTTACTGAAGGTCAGATAAACTAATTTATTTCACAGTTTTACGTTAGCACTATAACAATACAACTGAGGAACAAGTTTTTTTCAAGACACATTTAGCCCTTTAGCTCCAAATGATTCCATGGTTCTAAGTTGAATATATACATAAACAAATATTCATTCGAAATAATGAATAAAATATTAACTAACCTGTTGACATAATTCAGCAATTTGTTCTACTATAGCAGCAAGTCGACCAAGTGCTAAACCACTTAGATCCGGTTTTGTTACTACTGCACTACCTAATTTTATAACAATTTTCTTAGCATCATTTAATTCGCTACGAGTTCTTGCAAGTTTATTTAATGTTGTACTGTTATGTAATCCATGTTTTATTTGATTACATAATAATAATGATTGTCTATTTCTTCTTTGAATAATACTAAAACTGAATGGAATTGTAATTAGATGACATGGTTATTATAAAAATGAATATTAACATACATATTTGATAAACAATTAGATTTTAACATCCTTTTTTTAAAGAAAAAGAAAATTTCACTGTTTACAAATGGGTTAATTTGTATAGGTCAATGGGTACTGTGCACGATTAGTTTTGAGCTGATATTTATAGTTTTGTAATATTGATGAAAAACAAATGACCTTCACAACGTACATTTGAAAAATGTCAACACACGCGGTGTGTTTATGATTGGTGTAAGTTTATTTTAAATAAATAGTATATAATCTATGTCACATAGATATTTTTTGATTGTGCAATAACCCTTAAACTGATTTTAACATGAAACTATTGAGTAAGATTTCTGAGTAAAGACATCAATCAAATAACGTTGTCAAATTTTTTTATTAGGGTTGGAATCCTTTCACTTAGTTACTAACGCACTTACTCCTGTTACTCCTCATCGAGGAGCACAAGCTAACCAGAAGCATTCTTCATCCAACCCAGACCTGAGCAATCTTTACCAGTTCTTTCTAGTTGTTATTCATCCTGTGGTACCGTGCATCGTTAATCGTTCACCTCGAATAATGATTGTAATACAAATCTTAACGGTGCATAAAATCAGAAGGCAAAGAGAAGCGGCAATTACAGTTTTATTGAAAAATGACGCAGGTCAGAAAGTTATAAGCACATGAGTAAATATCGGCGAGCGAAATAAAAATGACACGCATTGAAGATGGTGGGTAAGCCAACTCGCTTTAATCAAGCGTTAATCAAGAATAAATGACAGACATGTGATAAACGGGATAAGAAGTGTATACACACACCTACGCTCATATAAAAATGGTCAGGGTTAATAAGTGAATAATTAACAAGTTGAAAACATTACTCAAGATGAATAGGTAAATTGGCTTGTCCAGAAGCTCGAATAAGGTGTTTGGGCTTAACATACCAACTGACACTATAATCCTTCTTATGTCTGCTTCCAATTCTCTACGTAGTGTAATCTTCAGCCTTCCTCTTTTCCGTTTCCTTTCAGGATTTCAAGTCAGATCTTGCCTCATGATGCAGTTTGGTAATTTCTGTGATGAATGTCCCACCCACTTCTAACGTCTTTTCCTTATTTCCTCTTCAGTTGGAATCTGGTTTGTTCCCTACCATAGTATACTGTTGCTGATGGTATCCGGTCAACGGACATTGAGTATGTTCTGTAGACAATGATTTATTAATACATGTACACTTTTGATGATTGTTAAGGTAGTTCTCGAAGTTTCGGTTCCGTACAGTAGAGCTAACTGTGTTGACTTTCGTATTGAAGATTGTGATTTTGATATTGGTTGACAGTTGATTTGTGTTCTATATGTTCTTCAACTGTAGGAATGCGACCCTCGCTTCGTGAAATTCTTTTACAGTAATAGAAATCATACACATACATAGCATCAAATCTTAGCAAGATAAAACAAATTAATTCATTGTTAAACTCAACAAAACTGTTGAATACTTCAACTAAACGAAACATTCTAGGACATTTCAGTGACCGATGAAGTCAATGAAACATTTGAAAGAAAAAACCCAATAAACACTAATATGACCTGGATGATTCTGTTTAAAGCACGTAAATTTAAAATGATTTTACTTGTTAAAAGAACTGACTATATCATCCAGAAGGACAATGAGACCTTCACAGTTAAATAACTGTGCTTAGAAAACGCAACATTATCAAAGTAACACGTTGTACCTTATTGAAATGATCTTTTAATTATGTGAACACTAATACAATAGATTAACTATTTTTTAAGTAGTATTTTAGGTAAATCATACTCCTATCAGATTTAAATCTTTACACTACGAGAGACATTTTGAATAATGTAATGAAAGAAAACCGATAGATCATTATGAGTTGATACTTCATTTTTTTAATGAAGGGGAGAAGTTTAGAGAACATTCTTGGGGGCATACATAAATGCTTATAATTATCTTACACGACGCATACATTGTTCGAAAAAACACTATTTAGCAGAAAGTGAATCCTATATTTAAACCGAAACAATGATATAATCCTTACCTTCTTAATTTAGTAGGTTTTAAAGATGTAATTATCGTTTATGACTAAATATAGCTGATCAGTCCAGTATTGGGAAAACTAGATTCTTTATCATCGTATTTTAGAACATTGTACTCACTATAACATTCGACTGCCATATTTGGTTTGTTTAAGCATGAGTAATGATTTTTATCTTATGGTATAATTCGTTCCCGTATGCTTTCATAGAAACTCATGAATGTCTGAAATATAGCAATAGAAGTTTGCCTACTGTGTTCCCTTATTCGGACTTAAAACTTAAGATAAATTATGACGTACGTATCAATAGATCAATAGGAGTTAGGATTATCTCGATCCCAAATCAAGGTTAATGTTGTCAATCGAAGCTGATCTTTTGTCAAAGCTTAGGACCTTAGGCTATAGATGAAATAGTAGACATGAAGTAGGGAAATTATAACTGTAATTCTGATTGACAGATTTCCTGTAGATGTTGATTATCGTCTCATTTACAGCATTATCTGTCATCAGTTAACTAAAAGACACTATACAAACGTGAATATTAAACTACATATATTGTTTCCCAAAATTTTTCAATCGATGAAAAACCTGCTATTATCATACTTTAAGTCAACTCAGATCCGAATTTCAATTCATCTAGTTTTATTCAAACCTTGTAATTCGATTCGAAGAGTATGAGTCCACTATTCATATTTTCTTGTTCAAATAAGCTATTAGAGTTATTATATTTCACTAATCACATATTTAAATAACCGTTATTCAATGATCATTATTAATAATATAAACCTTTTGATACTTCTCAAAGTTGATAAAATAAAGTACACTAAGCAGAAGTGTAGTGTATAAAAGGTAAATGAATTCATAGAACAATAGAAATCAATTTATTGATCGCTTCATATTCTGTATGATTCTTCCCATTCGCAATTCATTTTCATTTCTGTTTCTATTCTCTTCAACTTAATTCGTGCTGCCAAGGTTTCCACTTTTATTTGACGTTACATACTACTTAGGTTGACAGATATAAGTAGCATACATCATATTTCTTTCTCTAAACAATAACAATTTGCAAATAATGGCGAGACTATAATTTATGGACGAACCAATCAGGTATAAGATAATAGGTCTAGGATTCCGGCACGAAATTCACTCATCCATTTGAATAAACAGAGTTTTGGCATTATGGCTGATGTCAGTTAGTGATAAAAATCCTAAGTATGATTCCTAGCCTTAACCATGAACTGTAAATCATAATTCAAACTCCTCACATAGGTTTATAACCCTCATTTGGTCCTGGTTATTATGTGAACATTCTCAAGGTCACTCTAGCGTCACTCAAAGGTCGTCCATAAATTATAGTCTCACCTAAAAAGGTTCATTTCATTCGGAAAAACAAATCATTATTTCAAGTAGTTGACTTAATCTTCTTTACATGAGAATTATCACATTTACATTATATTTATGCATGATTTGAAAATATTTTTTAATTAGAAGATGAAACTTTAGTAAGTAAATAGCCCCCATAAAATTAAAATGAATATTGAATTCTAACAGAACTACCTTTTAAGAAAATGTTTTAAAACACTGAGACAAAGCGTTAGTGTTATCAAACTCTTGTAGTGCCGTGCTTCGCTGATCGTTCACCTTGATAACCGTGATAATACAAATTTTAACGGTGCAAAGAGAAGCAGCAGCTACAGTTTTATTGACAAACGACGCAGGTCAGAAAGTTATAAGCACATGAGTAAATATCAACGAGCGAAACATAAATGACACAAATTGGAGAGGACGGGTAAGCCAGTTCACTTTAACCACGAATTATTCAGTATTTATAGTCAGATGGAAATAAATGACAGACATGTAATAAATAGGATAAGAAGTGTACACACACCTACTCACACATAAAAATGGTCAGGGTTAATAAGTGAATGATTAATAAGGTGAAAACATGACTGATGATGGATAGGTGAATTGGTTCGGCCAGAAGCATATGGGCTTAACATACCAACCGATACTACATTTTACAGATTCATTTAAACAATTAAGAATAAAATTGAGTAGAACATTATGATTAGTTAGTGAATGTTATAATGTGTACATTGTATCAACAATAATATTTGTCAGAAACATAGTTGACATTCACTACTGATTTACTAGTTTAGGTATAAAACTTTATGGTAAAAATAAAACAACTAACTGATGATGAGGACAATAACTATGAAATCAGTTATTGAAAATAGATTAGTCTGTTACAATTTGTAGCAGAAATGTAAATCATAGCAAGTTGTAGTTTGTAGATCTTGTACATATTTCAATTGTATTCAGTAAGTTATTCTTTTTTTAGACGGAAATTGATGGTAGAATTCAGGACACGCGTTTAGTCCTATTTGGGACTCGTCAGTTGGATGTACCAACAACCAATACGAGAATTAAATGTTCTTTTCTAAGCTCCTGATTATTGAAAATAAAAATTATTTCATTCTCATATGTTTTTATTTACACTTCAATATGGAACAACTATTCCTTGCAATAATTAATGACAATAACAATAATAAAACCTTTTGAGTGAGCGCTATCTACGGATAATGTGAAATAGTTCAATCATCTAGATTGAAACTTATGTATTAAAGGTTGAAGGGGAGATGAATATCAACCTAGAATGATTACTTCAATCATCTTTGAGTTTACATCCACTCTTAAATGTCTATATTGATATAAGCAAACTAGGTCATTAGAAAAGCTACTGTTATTTGAATATATAATCTGAAATTTTTACATTATGCTTTTTGAAAAGCTAGTGCACTACTGTAAATTTCTTCGATTCAACTTTGAGTACTGATATTAGTTTAAGTAATATCAACGTATTGAAGCTTTTTTTTACTGTTTTCAATATAGCACACCAACTAGCTGAAAAATTTAAATCCTAATTAAAGTTGGCTAGCTGAATCTCATCTTGCCAAAATAAATATGGCCGTAAACCTAATAAACATACGTTGCTCAATTTTGAAGTTGATTCTACATAAAATCAAAATTTATTTTGTATATTTTTAATTCTTTTTTTTCGAATGGTAGTTTACTTAGGTATTT